TCAATCATACCAATGGTATCATTTAGGCGTGAAACGCAATCTTCATTTAACAAAAAATCACCATGAATTTTGCATTGATCATAACGCTTATATTCTTGCTCACTGTAAACAGACAATGGCTCACCAATCATATCATCCCTGGCTGGCAAAGGTAAAGCTATTTCGGACAACAGAACAGAATGATCGGGTACAGCGTCAGGCACATTCGGCCCGGTAATAAGTGATGACATCTTAATTACTTTAAAGTCTTTAAATCTGGCCAAGTCCTCGTGTGCTGTCACCATGTAGTCCACAACTGAGCATCCGTTTTTAATGTAGGTAAAATCCTGCTGACCCAGACGGCCATTAATCAAACATAAATTCGCGTCCACGAGAAAGTCTATGAAAGAGGCGCCTTGAGCGTTCAGTGTAGTGTCAATTACATCACGTTCTTCAATATTGTCTACTCCTTCTATGTAGTCTTTCTCGGATCCAACGCGAGCGTTGAAGTCGCCACATATGCATGGTGTTCCATAGTTTTGATATAAGTAATATTTCTCAAGTAGGGTATTGAAGAAAGCTTCTGCATTGGTGGCTCGCGTAGAGCCGGCTGGAGGCAGATAACAAACGCACAACACAAGATTGACGTCTCTCGCCGAGTTAGATGAGATCTTGAACCATATCATATCCTCTGTTTCTGCATCTAATATAGCAACACTGAATTTTTCTAAAAAACTTGTTTTAAAAAACGCTCCCACTCCTCCTGAACCCCGTTTGGCCCTTGCGTTTACAGTTCGGCGATTATTGCCATACCATTTGTAACCATCAACACAAAGACAATCACGGTGTTTCAAAAATGTTTCACATAACCCAAAAATATCGCAGTCCATCTCATTTAAAACTGACTCTCTAAAACGACTATTATCATTTACATATTTAGACCACCCACAAGAGTTCCACAACCCTAGCCGCACAGTATCCTATTCTTTTGCTATAACCAATCGGTTACCTTGGAAACGTAATTTCTTGTTTTGACCACACTCGTTTATCACCATTCGTAAGTTCGAACGCGAAATTAGTTCTTCTTGGGACATAGCTGCATCGACGTACACTTTCGCGTAGTCTTTACTGTTCTTCAGTTTCTTTTTGTGTTGCAATAACAGTTTTTGTTGTTCATGTGATTCTAGTCTGGCAACCACAACACCCGGTTTGCCATCACTCCGCTTCTTGCGTTCTGCACGCGTTGCCCGCACTGTTGTCAATTTCAGTTCTTCACGAATCAGTTTATTTACAAGCTGACAAGTAACGCTTGAAGTTTTGGTTTCATTTTTATCTGTCGCTAAATTTCTGATAACTACTGAACATTCATGTTCCGCCACTGGGTTTGTCCGTTTAACCACATCCGAGAATTTTAATTCCAGTGAGTTAATTTTGGTGTCAGCATTGTCTTTATTGGCCTTTATGTTACATATCCTAAAACTGACTAATCTGCAAATCTTGCTGCACTGCACCCGACAGATACTAGAGCAAGGCATGCCAGAAATACGAAATATAAAGCTTTCGAAAGGAAGCCTTGGGCATCCCGTGCGTCGGGGGACCAGCGCTATCTGATTGGCTGTTAACAGTTACATTATGCGTAGCAAAAATCATCGTTTTCCGTCCATTTTACGCTTGAAAAACTCGACGCCTTTCCGTCCAATGACCATATACGAAAAAACCCGACGTTTTCGTGTATGCAGTGTGAAGATCGATTCTCAACCCGGATATTCACGCGTGGTTGACGCATTGCCATAATAAAGCTTGAATATTTTGTTCACAATACATCAGTTCACTCACTATGCGTATGACTAGGTGGTTATGACCGAATGATTAAGTTACATTTTCGTTTCAACCATATGTATTAACGTGTACGTGATGAAACAGTCTAGGGAAATATATTTTCTCAGCACTTAAGAAACGCAATAGATATTTTAAAGATGTCATTAGTTATCCTACGTATGTCGCTCTGTCAAGTACATATGTGAGTGTGTATATACTTGTATAATGGGCCGGTGGCCTCATTACGGATTAAACAATAAACATATTAAACATAACAAAGCTTGAATATTTTGTTCACAATACATCAGCTCACTCACTATGTATATGACTAGGTGGTTATGACCGAATGATTAAGTTACATTTTCGTTTCAACCATATGTATTAACTTGTAAGTGATTAAAAGTGCACAGACGTTTTTCCTTCGTGTCAGACCTAGCAGAATTTCGGATAACTGGTCCATGCAACACTTCGTTCATGCACATGACATGATACTTTTACATCCTGGTCTCTTTTAAATTTTGAAAATAGAGTGTGTTGGGTTGTGTTGATCTGTGCATTGCCGGCAGTGGCGTGGCGTGGCGTGGCGTGGCGTGGCCACGTTTCTGGGTTGTTTATGATGGATGTTCATACATTTTAATGGTTTTCATATTTGGATCTAAACAAGATTTTGGAAAGAATTTTGTCGCTTATATTTAAATAAATTGCAGTAGTATCTCGAACGAACTTTCTTAATAAAGCCTGTGTGGTATTTAGTTCAATCAATTATTGTCTTTTACTGTAAGAACGGGCTCTTACTACGAATTACAAGTCAACAGTGGTGGTTGAATACACGATTATGCGTTACATTCACATACAATTGCTTGATGTACATACCTAATTCAGTTCCGTAACATGCAGACTTTTTTTAATCTGAACTTACACATGCCTGTATGTGGTCCCTTCTCTTTCGATTCGGACACAAACCTGGGTGTTTATCGAAATAGAATTTGGATGTGATGTCTTGTATGACAGAGGAATCTGGCGTTTATATTAAGGACTTCCTTTCCTGTATGTAGTAGTCTCGTGCTTGACGTTGCATTGGGCTTCCGTTTGTCGTGGCATGTTTTCGCTGTTCACTTGTTATAAGATTGTGATGGCATCCAAATGAAAACCCGATCGAGTGATGTTGCACGTGCATGACATGTTGGTGCTTCGTCGCCATGCTCTCACGTAGTTGAGCTTTTGCATCTTTTCCCAAATTTCTGCAGTACCACATTCTTTCCACAAAAATTTATCCAAACCACGCAGAAATGACCAATTCATTTTTGGTATTAATTTTGTATGGATGTCGATAGCACTATTTACGATTCTACTACTTTTGCGTTTCTATTTTTTTTGCTAAGTATATAATTGTTGTCTTGCAGATACGTAATGTGATGTGGTCCTTAAAAATAGAAATGCTGGTTTGAAAGTAATACACTGTTGTCGCAGATGGTCATCAGCATGGCTGAAATAGGGTGAAAAACAATAGCTGTATCGCCGAGGTACTACTCAATCAATTGCAAGGAAATACTATGTATTCATTATGCCTCTACAGTGTGTTTAACTTTCGATTTGTCGTATTCATGAAGACAATTGAAACAGCATTCTCATGGTTGCCCTCGCCTGGTTCACTCTTCTCCCAAAGTTGGGTCAGGATTGATATCACGACGTACACGGCAACGACTGGAATATTTTATAATAGATGTATGCCAAGTATAAGCCACTGCAAAATGCAATTCACAATGACAATTTAACACGTTTGTATTGTCGTGATATATGGCTTATGTGTAAACATGACATCAATATCTCGCCTCCTGTTGTTCATTTCTGGTGTATTCACCTGAATGCCAGTCCAAAGGAATCTAACACAACTAACCATGTAATCATATTCCACTTGAATATCAGAATTATCCGGCACAAATTGACTAAAACCAACGATGATATTTGCGATGTGGATGTGTAATGCTTCACCTAGGGCAGATTTTTTAAATTGTTCGTAAATATAAGCATTTTGAAAATATTATGTATTGTGAAAGGTACAAAACTTGTAAGTGTTTAGAAGAATGATGTCCCATTCTCATGTATACGAACCCATTTGATAACTTTCATAAACCCGTGAAGATCCGGGTGAGAATAGGTCTTCAGCAGCCCATGCTTGCCGTAAAAGGCGACTATGCTTGTCGTAAGAGGCGACCAACGGGATCAGGTGGTCAGGTTGGCGACTTGGTTGATGCATGTCATTGCATCCCAATTTCGTGGATCGATGCTTATGATATCAATGACTGGATTGTCTGGTCCAGACTCGATTATTTTACAGACCGCCGTCATATGGCTGGAATACTGCTGAGTGCGGCGTAAAACAACACACAACAACAAACAATTTTCATAATGGTTCCGTTTCGTAAGTTATACATGTCTGAAAAGCCAAAATGGCCCTTTCTCTCGTTCTCTGTACACCAAATATGTATGTAAAATAAACGTCAGATAGAAATATGCAATGACAAGAGAAGTGACACAGACAAATGTGATATGAATCCAACAGGTATGCAACAGACCACCTTTGTGACGTCACGGACAACGACAAGAGCACTGGAAAACAACATGCAGGTAGATCCCTGTCAGCCAACTCCAGCCAGACCCCCGCGACCTCTGCCCAGACCATCCCGGGGAAATCGAAAATCCACCCAAACACAGCCCTGAATCGCCCATGTCAGTTCGGGATTTGACCACGACGTGCCGCCATTGTTTGTGCTACATCGTTTGCGATGTCATAGACCTTAACAGGGCAATGTACCTAATTGTTGTGCCTCAATGACGTATTCAATAAATCTCAATTGACATACAATTTACCATGTGTTGTCAGTTAACGCGAGTTTTATCTGTCCACATTTTCTTTTTCTGTGGTATCCATCTATTACGTATTCAAGTAATAATACCTATTCCGTCAGTATTTTCAGAGTGAACAGAACCCATATTCATGATCAGCAGTATATCAATTAGATGTATCTATACCTATCAGTGATTTGATTTTGGGATGGTATATAATTCCAGTGTATACACTGCACACCATGACATTAAAGTGAGTTATGCTGTCAAAATAACATTTCAGTGACAATTCCTTGTGTTTACAGTAAACCTACAGCATTTGGATTTATCCATCATTAAGACTATAAAACAAAGCATTGCTTCAATGTGATTTATTCAGGTAATACAGAGAAAAAAGCATATGTGGACATTCAAAGAACAAGACCTTTTTTAACAAGAAGATTATACAAAAAAACGTTAGAGATCCTAGGACTTCAGAAGAAAATAAACTTGTTTCGCGAACATTTTATTTCATGAACATCAACTCTCAGTTTATTCAACAAGACAGATATTCTCTGTCGGTCACACGTTAACTTCTATATGTATTATTAAACCCTAATTGAGTTTATCCACTCGACATGCTGAGGTACGAAGGCATACACTCCTGGAAAGCCTGGTTTAGCACATCCTTCTGCCACTGATACCACGCCGTACAAAACCCATTTATCTCCTTCCGGGCAAAATAGGGGTCCACCAGAGTCTCCCTGAAAAGAAAATTGCGTGTAATAAGAGATAAGAGATAAACGTGAAGTTTTGATATTTTACGGGTGTGTGCTAGCTTATAGTATGTTCAGTTGTATGTCAATGCATGTGGGTGTGTATAATGTTTCATCATCCGAGCTCCCCACCCTATCACAGTGTTATACAGGTGATGCTATTAACATGTGGATCTCCAACTTGCATACCAAGGATACTTGGATGAAAAACTCAAGCAGAAGAACAGAAAGATTATTTTTTTCATCAGATGAACCGATGAACCACCGCTTCCTGGGCGTAAGAAAGACTCCAGGTGAATAACGTACTTGAAAGTATACTTTTTAAAAATTTATCTTAAACAACAGTTGGCCAAAACAAAAATCCGGTTTGTTGGACAGGGCTTGACATGACCAGCCAATTGATAGGACCGGACCCACCCTACCACCCGTATAGGTGAAGCAAGGGTTGAATTGGTGTATTGGGCACGGCTTTGGTTACCTAATTTAGTCGTCTCTTATGACGGGTGCCGGGGATACATTCTCTGTCGAGCCCCCTACGGGGGTAGTCAATAGAATGGGGATGATTTAGCAACACAATGCATTCAATAATGTGCTCCCATGACAACCAAACCGTCGTGTGAGTAGAACGCAGGATACAAGTAAATTAATCTGCCAAATGTTACTCAAACTAACTCTCTACATATGTAGTCATACAACATTCTTTCGTCATGTCAAAAATCATGATTTTCACGGGTATGTCAGATTCCAAGGGCATGCAAGTCGTGGTCCAGAGTTCTGTCATTTAGGCGTTTCAGGATCCGCTGTCGTGGATCTTAACCATATTCGCCAAGTACATGCATATGATGCTTGATCTATTGTTACCCATGCAGGTGGCCTGACAACGACCTGACTATGAGTATTCCTCCGACTTTAAAGAATCATCCCTTGATACCATTGAAATACTGCTCAAATGGGCTCAAATCCAATTCACTCCCTTATTCACAACTGACCTTGCAAGCATCTACTCCCCCGTCTCTGTAGTACCCAGCGCACAACTGCCTGTTGGACACTAGAATGTAGTCGTTGTCTGCATATGACCTTTGACATAGGTCAAGGGGAACCAAAGGTACGTATGCCTTCTGTAGAATATCAGGAAATGTGAAACCGCCATCTGGAACAAATAACGCCTGATATGACCAATATGTTAATAGAAACAGATTCCATAGGGCGTAAAAGGTAAAATAGTGATGACAATTATATGAATGGATCACTGATAATCATTGATGACCACTGATGTTTGCGAAAAGGGTAAGCATGTTCCCCCTCTACTGGCACCACCCGCCATTCACACAATTTGATTAAGAAAGTAAGTGTTTATTGTTTGTTGCCTAAACCCTCGGCAATACCCCTGCCATTGACGACAACCTGTATACAAACGGTTCTACATGAGGCAATGCAGTGATTGATATTATGAACAATCATCAACACCTTCAAGGTACGACGGATGGACCATTGGGCGAATTTCATATCTGGGTTCGTGTTCAACTTATTAACAATTTATTGACTATTCATTCGCCAAATTATTGTAATCATATTTTAGAAGAATATTGAAAAAAGGCATTGCCACCAGCATATGAGATATAAATTTAGATTATTTGTGCAATAAGTTGATAGTAATTGAACGGCCAAACAAATCAAAATCCTAAATATTCCAATATGGGTAGATATGTTAAGTCAATGTTTTTGCAATGATCTATGGGCGTTTCTGTTTACTTATAAGCAGCAGAATTTAGACAAAAGACATAATTCAAACTTAACATATCGTTTATAGTTCTAACAAAATCAGTAAATGCGCTACCGTCTCACTAGATTTTCTTTCATGCAAATTGTGTGAGTGGCGGGTGCTACCAGTAGGGCAGGACATGCTTACCCTTTTCGCGCACACCTGGTGTCATCATTGAGTTTCAGTCATCCTTTCCTATACTTTTCACCGCTGGTTTGCCTTTTGCGTCCAATGGAATCTGTTTCGGTAGATAATCGAGACTGATTATTTTCTGAAGTTGAGTGCTACATTTCCAAAATTTCGAACAGATATTTCAGCCATCGGCATATCAAGCTTGGCATCAAGGCAGAGTTTTAGAAGGCACATGGAAACTCGAATGCTCTACGAAAATGAATTGTCCCATATAAACTGAGTGGCCCAGGAAGAGTAAGAGGTGTGTACACTGCCTAACGTACCTAGCTGAGTCCCCCATCCTGTGATGAGGCAACCAGAGCCTGTTGAGTAGGAAGTGCTCGGCTCAGGTAGACACACACTTCTTAAATTTGTAGAGGCAGTCAGAGGGAGATCCTTACTGAGCCTCACAATGGCGATATCATTGTCCTCTGAAAACATAGCAAAGGTATATCTGTATCAACAAATAATAAACGGGATATTTCTTGTGAAATATGATGTGTCGCTTATCGAGTGACGTAAAAAAGGAGATATTTTGACGAGTTGATGTATCCTGGAGTGGAAATAACTCCTTTTCCACTTCTCGAGATGAGAGATAAATCATATTTCACTAAACCCATGAAATCACGTATTTATTATATACTTCATTTGTTGTTGACAGTGTTTCTTTAAACAAATTAACCAAAACAAATAGAACGCAAAATCTAAATTCCCCCTTCTATACACATTGAACTTTTCACACATTGCTTCCCGCAAGCAAACAATAGTGCTATGTTAAAATAATCAAAAATATTAAAAAACGCCACAAAATACTTGAATCAAGTTTTTAAATTTACGTACTTCTGAGATTTTTTTTCGCACCCTCTGAATTAATGAACACTCATTTTCTGTTCGAGGTATTTAATCTAACATAATGATTTACATGGCGTCGAACTGGCGATGAGTTGAAGATCGCTCAGCAATGCATTTGAAGCATATAGCTGTTCAAATAGGCAGAGTTTCAAACAAATAACACATAAGAAGAACTGTAAAACAGTTTCACTGTCAACACAGAAATTTAATTGTTCCGAAGCCCGGCTGCAGTTCACTGCAGTGAACAAATAACTTTTCTGTCACTGCTGTGAATATTTCACTTTTCTAAACTTTAGAAATCTCAGTCTTTCACACTTAGGTGTATCATAAAGTACTCCATGCTTTGTTGTATAAATGTTCTTAAACGTCCATTTACTACGGCTGTGCACATGTATATCATGCTGTATAACCAGGATTCCCGTTATATCACGGCGTGTCACGTTAATGAAGCAGGAAAGCCCGACGGTTTTATCACTATGGTGAAACCCATGAACATGTGTATGATGCTGACAAACCTACAGACATAATCGGACGAACCTGGATTCGAACCCACGATTATAGGTTTCTACCACGAGATATGTGGCTCTTCAAACGACTGGCTTCTCGTGCCACAAAACAAATGAATATGTATATTTTTGTGATTAATAAACAACAGGATCGTATTCTAATACTAATACATTAATAAATAATATATACCAAAAAATGACCTTTTCGCAAATGTGAAGTCAGACTTACTGTTCGTTATGTTGTATAGTGGGTGGGTGTCGATTCTCTCGGCAGTTATGTTAACGAGGCTAGTTCTTTTGATGGAACCATAACCTACAGTCAGCCTTTGAGGGTTGTCTGCAAGGGATCTAAAATACATAAAGAGAGAGAACAATTAATTCCAACAAGTGATTCTCTTTCAAGTTGTAATGAATGACGATACTGAAAGGTAATTGGCTTAACTGAAAAAGCAGTCATGAGAGAAAAGTGCCCGTTCTTTATAAACCGAAACTTAAGCTGGGTTTTTAATAAAATAATAGCGATAATCACGTACCCCACACAATGAGATGCAGTAACAATAATAACGATCATCACGTACCCAACACAATGAGATGCAGTAACAATAATAACGATCATCTCGTTCCCAAAACAATGAGATGCAGTAACAATAATAAATCATCACGTACCCCACACAATAAGATGCAATAACAATAATAACGATCATCACGTACCCCACACAATGAGATGCAGTAACAATAATAAATCATCACGTACCCCACACAATGAGATGCAGTAACAATAATAACGATCATCACGTACCCCACACAATGAGATGTAGTAACAATAATAACGATCATCACGTACCCCACACAATGAGATGTAGTAACAATAATAATGATCATCACGTTCCCCATACAATGAGATGTAGTAACAATAATAACGATCACCACGTTCCCCACACAATGAGATGTAGTAACAATAATAACGATCATCACATACCCCACACAATGAGATGCAGTAACAATAATAACGATCATCACGTACCCCACACAATGAGATGCAGTAACAATAATAACGATCATCACGTTCCCCACACAATGAGATGCAGTAACAATAATAACGATCATCACATAATTCACACAATGAGATGCAGTAACAATAATAACGATCATCACGTAAACACATTACGATTCAGTCACGTAAATAACGATCTTAACATACCTCACACAATGCGCGGCAGTCACAACGTGACGTCTATCAATTATGGAACCGGCGCACAATCTTAAGGTGACCGTTTCTTCCAGATAGACTGTCCAGGGGAACTCCCTCTCTTCGGCATCAATGCCTCCAACAATTCGGGGCATAGCATAGCGAGACGCGCTGCCTGTCTTTGAACTTTCGCCACAAGGAGGATCTAGAAAAATAAATAAGTTAATAAAAAAACTAAAATAAATTATATAAACATCTCTGCATGATCACATGTCCCGTTGTGTAAATGAATCCATGTTTTGGGAATCACGAGAAAGTATCAGTCGGTATCTAACGAAAATGTTTTTGACGGACAGTACACATAGTGCTTGTATTATTGATAGTGTACATAAAATGCCGGGATCGTGGGTCAGGCAGATTCCACTTTACCCCTTGTTACAGCCGATCAAATGAAGATAGGGCTTCGTTCGTGCTGCTTGTGTGTTATTGTATCTCGTTGATTTCAGTGACTTGTTTGTTGAGTCCAAATTAAATATGTACAGGCTGACATCGTAGAGCAGTAACAGTCTGCGATGGATGCTTCATAAAAGTAGGATATGAAGCCACTTGTGTGAGTTTAAAAGCATGAATCAATTTGATGTTTACATCTTCTGTAAATTTTTATGCTATTACCGTCTTCTTATACACATCATTAAACACACATTTTGGCGCTCCCTGTCGTAAATGTATAGATATAATGTGAGTATACACTTATATTATGAGAATAAAAAATACAATCACATTAGTTCCATCCGATACACAACAGATGTCTTTTTCTGGAAACAACTGACAGTGTCTGATGCTCCTGCATAAAGCTGAGACCTATTGAACATTTCTTATCAAAGATGTAAACCTGTATGGTTGTTGTTATTGCACAACAGATCGCTATCACAATAGGACATTTTTGCGTTCGAGTACGGTTGTTCAAAGGTGCAGGTAACTAGATAGCTGTGAAGAAGATTCATTCCTTTTTATTCAAACGTGAAACAGATTTTAATAGCAAAATATGAATAGTCTTTTATTACATAATACAACATTTGATGGACTTGCTTAACTATGTCGTAAAGATAATTTGATCCAATGTTACCGTTTTTACGTGTGATGAGATCCTCTGTACACTTGTAATAATAGAACAGGAAGACGCACACGGGGGACATGGTAAAGCATCTCTTGAACTGACTGCACATAAGAGCTTGTTGTTCCTGGGCAGCTGGAAATAAGAAATATTTCGAAAATACGACATCGAATGCACACAAAATGCATGTCGTTTCAATAAATCACTTCCACTGCAATTGTACATGCACTATGTGTTTAGCAACGAAGACATTATCACAGTATGGGTTATCCTAGTGGTTAAAGCATTTGTTCGTCAGGACGGTTGACAGGTTGCGAATCTGTACACGAATACATCATGTAATGCTCATTTGTAGTGATTTTAAGGTGGAGTGAGTGAGTGAATGAGTAAATGAGTGAATGAGTGAGTGAATGTGGTTTTTAGCAATATCACGGCAGGGGACACCAGAAATGGGCTTCACACATTGCACCCATGTCGGGAATCGAACCCGGGTCTTCGGCGTGACGAGCGAACGCTTTCACCACCAGGTTACCCGATCGCACCGATTTACTACATAATATACACAATATACATACATGTATAATTATACATTACATGTGAGTGTTTATAGTATTAATTAAGTAAAATCTACCAGAATTTGTAATGACAATATGGATAGATAAACGAATGTCTTCATTTATTTCAGATGGTAGACCTTCACATCCGTGAAGTACTGTAGCAATAGCATATCATTTAATGTAATTATATATTGATTCTAATTTGACCAGTACTGTAAGGTCACAGGCCCATAATGCATTTCGATCGGCCTTTGTTTTTGGCGTTTCCGAGCATGCTGCTATACTGCAGTTATTGCAATCTTTTTCAGAGGTTCAGAAATAATGTTCGCAGTCATACAGTATAATTACATTAATAATACCGAAGATCAATAGAATAATAGTTAGAGAAGTAATGATGAATTTCTTCACAATACACAAGTAGCAGCCAGGACACAGTAGCATATTTGTTTTTTTACACGCCATAGTCTAATAAACGTTTCCGGGGAATGTTTCGATGTGAATGGTGATGTAAGATCGAAAAGCACACTTTACAGACCATTATGTATATTATTGCATACAAGCAGTTTGTACAAACATTTTCAGAAGTTCATGTTCGCAGTAATACATTATTGTATTATTAATACAAGAGATCAGTAGAATGACAGTTGCAAATTTAAAGTAATTATGAATTTCTTATTTTTGAGCCTTACATAAGCAGGGCCCAAGGCACTGTGTATTTGCAAGCCACAATTTACTAACTTTGAAACGTAGTTTGTCAACATGATGCACGGTGCTTGCCCATCTATCACCTTCACGTGAATTCTACTCACTGGCACTGACTTGAGCGGTGGGTGTTACCGGTAGAGCAGAACCCGTTTCCCCTTTTTGCGAATACAAGTTGTATTCACTATTTTTCAGTCATCCATTCATATAATTTTCATCACTATTTTGCCTTTTCCGCCCCATGGAATCTTTCGGCAGATTTCGTGACTAATTATGCGCTAGCTTTAACGTTTTGGATATGTAGGAATATTGCAAACGTTGGCTGACTCAAACCATGTTGAATCATATCATTCAAATATTTGAGAACATACTACCGAACGCATATGTCACCGTTCTTTCTTTTTTAGAATGTTACTGTCAAATGCTATTTAATGTAACTACAATGCAATTGTAATATCATCGTTAAAGGTAATGTACCTTTGCTTCATCAAATACAGACTGTCGGTTTAATTTATTTTCCCAGTTAGAAATTATATACTAGTACAGGAATTATTTTTAGATGAGTCAATTTCGGCTTCGCAACGATATTTAGACTATTACGCGTTGTTTCATTTAAAGCGTTGAAAACTCCCACAAATATTCAATATTAATGCTATTATAGCTATCACACGTGCCTTTATATATACCTATAACTCACTTCATTAATACAGTACATATTCTAGGAATACGTATCACGTCAGGTAACAAGTATGCATACACTCACAGAAGTTGTTAAATATCGGAATATCTGTATATCTGTATATATACCTATAACTCACTTCATTAATACAGTACATATTCTAGGAATACGTATCACGTCAGGTAACAAGTATGCATACACTCACAGAAGTCGTTAAATATCGGAATATCTGTATATCTGTATATATACCTATAACTCACTTCATTAATACAGTACATATTCTAGGAATACGTATCACGTCAGGTAACAAGTATGCATACACTCACAGAAGTTGTTTAATATCCGAATATCTGTATCCCACAATGATTATCTCTACAAACCATTGAGTGTCAGTGTATGAAAAATGTTACAAATCAACATCAAACAATTACCAAACAAAAGTGGCATACGCCATATCCATAATCCAAGTTACTATTGGCTACTGGTAATATTGACTACACCAAACATCGCCAGCGTCAAAAGGTGATGTAATGTCAATGACCTTAGGAATTAGAAAAAAATAACTTGGAATTCATGTATACGTGAAACAGAGGTGATGGACCTTATAGGGACCTTTTACATAATTATATAGACATGTGTATAAAAAACTTAAAGCATACTCACCTATTTGTGTAGAAAAACATACTAATACCAACAAAAGGAGTAGCTGTCCTTGTCGTACGCCAGCTGCCATCTTGATTTAGTTTGATGAGAGATGTTTCACGATGTAAAAACACCTGTCTCTACACCAAATGATGAGACACTCTTCACAACAAAATCTCTTTATGTGTGTTTAAGATCTCGGAAAAGATCTAATTATAGAGAACGTCAGGGGAATACGGATGTACCGGCCCATGTGATGGTCTTATCCAGCGCCTTTAACACTGAGATGACGTTTAAGAATCAACGATGGCACGTTTCTTTGATGTGTCATTTCCAATCAGAATAAAAACCCACACCTGATTGACAGATGTTGATTGTTATCTTAAACAGATCTGGTAACAAGCTAGTGTATCAATTATAATTGTGTTCAATATAAAATGGTTCTATACAATACATTGCGATTTAGGTACAGTGAGATGGCTCTTTTGTGAGTTTATTCTTGCAGTAGTGAAGGATATGTACGGATCTCTATTCAAGTGTTGACAGAGAAGTCCACAGCGGCACACCCTCCTTACAATTAGACGGCAGTGCTCCAGTTGAGTGTTCTTGTTCTGTATCAGTATTTGGGGTGAGACCTAAATTGACAGGTCTGTCATTATATAATACTTTGGAAAACATTTTCTCATCCTGGGGATGAGATTTGTACTCTCATACAATATTTGTATGTTTGTATGTTTGTGAGCTTACTTAAACTATTTGATCATCAGTGTAAAGTGTATGACATGGGTAACAATAGTCACACTTGTTGGCTCCAAACTATATCCCTGTAGATGGTTGAATGAAGTTCACTTACCTGTTTCTAATACGGATAGTTTATAATTCTTAAGGTTTTAATCTTTCTTGAAGAAACAAAACAGGTTGACAGGTGGCATTCTATATACCTTAACAACCACAGGGTGACCTACATTCCTTATTGCTATGGATTCCTCTAGGCTGTCACTTTCCGGGTCCACATACGTTTGTGTGTACAACGTAACATTAATTGTACTTCTTAATTTCTTAAATATATCATTTAATTTAATAAAGTTATTAGTGATTGGCAATTTTCAGCAAATAAACACACACAGGTGCTCATTCATTTGATCTCTACATTTTAAGCCTCATGAATATTATTGGCTCAACATAAATCGCGAATACCTCAAGGAAAATATAACATGTAATATGAACATTCTTTTCAAGTTGATTGACATGGCGGTTCATGGGTATATGTGGACGATTTTCCCAATTCGTATTTTAGCAAATGCGTTTCGTAAGTTTTGTATTTATAAATCGTTTCCTTCAAACATTTGAAAGAGTTTTGTTTGTAAAACAGGTTTTTAATTCGTCTGTAATGAACATGTATACACAGCTGTCTTTTGAACCCTATTCTGTCTCGCGTTGGAGGTTTCAACGCGATTAAAAACTTATACATAATTGCAAACTACCGTAACGGTACATGTCTACCTTGATCAAATGTTTAAACTAGCTTGGACAAAGGCAGAACTACAGGGGAAGCATCCACGTTTTATGAGCAGCCCAGATTGAAGACGAATATACGCCAACCAAATACAGGAAGGGGTGAAACAGGTGCAGTGGTACATTGCATCGCATCGCATCGCCTTGCAATGGAGTGGTTCATAATATGGCTGTGGTTGTTGGTATTGTTTGTTAAGCGGTGTGTGCGTGAATGTTTGTATTTGGTTTTGTGCATGTTTGTATATGTGTGAGTGTGTGTGTGTTTGTTTTTGTGTATGTTTACGTGTCTGTATGTTTTTTATTTGTGTGTGCGCATGTTCGTATTAGTGTGTTTGTGCGTGTGGGTCTGTTGTGTGCGTGCACGTGTGAGTGTTGATCTAGGTGTGGGTGTGGGTGTGGGTGTGGGTGTGGGTGTGGGTGTGGGTGTGGGTGTGGGTGTGGTTGTGGGTGTTGGTGCTGGTATGTTGGTATTATAGATTATGATCCTTGGTTCGTGGTGTACAAAATGTGTTAGTTGGTCTTTCCTTCCACATTATACAGCACCGTGAATATATTAAAAATACTGTTGAAAACGATGCTACATCGTTTGCATAAAAGAAGAAACTCCACGTTCCGATTGCCATTTCCAAGCTAGATCAGTTAATAAGGATTTATATGAAGATAAGACACAACACGTATTTTAGAGAGCTGGGAATCAAATAAGCTTGGCCTGCCTATTGTTCAAAGAACCCCAAGGGTCCTCTCTTGGATGTTGGTGGTGGAAGTAGTTTAATTTGTGTAATCTCAATTAGTTATCACATTCAAAAGGCCTGTACTTGTGTGTCATTATTGTCGACTTTCAACTAATAATTTGTACCTCTTAACCTTTTTCTGAACGTTAATTATTATATATTCAAGCACATCAAGGTATGTTATTCGGAATCGATATTGGCCAAATATTTTCTTGTTCCCTTATCTCACTCACTCACTCACTCACTCACTCACTCACTCACTCACTCACTCACTCACTCACTCTGTAGTGATTATGTGGGATCCATGAAAAACAAAACCGACGTCATTTTATGAGAAAGGTGACAACATATTTATTGACCAAAACAAATGTCCTCGTATTATTCTATAAAACTATATGTGAGTTGATCCACTCTATATGCTGAGGGACATATGAGTATATTCCAGGGTACAGCGCACGAGCACACCCCTTGCCGGCCGAAACTATTCCGTACTGCACCCATCTGTCGCCATCGGCGCAGAACAGGGGTCCACCAGAGTCTCCCTATATAACATATGAAGATTCAAAATGAAACAACATTGCTAGAATTGTCTAAATATTCTTAAATTTACGTCGCTTAAATTGGCTCATCTTAAAACTAACTTCTTATACTAGTGTATAGTTTCTAATTGATAAATAAAATATACTTTTATCTGTTTTTGATCAACCAAAGTTACATGTGTATCCAGACTACCGACCCAAACGTTGATATTACAATTACATTATGCTCATGTTCATATTTGTGTGTGTGTATGAGTGTGTTTGTGCGTGTGGGTCTGTTGTGTGCGTGCACGTGTGAGTGCGGATCTGGATCTGGATCTGGGTGTGGGTGTGGGTGTGGGTGTGGGTGTGGGTGTGGGTGTGGGTGTGGGTGTGCCAAACGTTGATATTACAATTACATTATACTTACATTATGCAACATTTCTCGATAACATTATGAAGAGGCTGGTGACATATATGTTCGGAATATGTTCACACATATTTGAATAACATGATTCTCCACAGGTCGAGTCAGCTACCGTTTGCAATAGTCCAAGCATATCCATAATGTCAACGCCAGAGAATAATCAGTCTCGAATATCTTCCGAAACAGATTAAATAGGACGTCATAGGCAAAATAGTGATGGCAATTGCATGAAAGGATCACTGAAAATCAGTGATGACACCAAGTTAAAGGAACAAGGTTACGGATGTCATGTTCTACCCTTAATATCAGCCACTCACACAATTTTCATTAAAAGAGTAAACTTGTTCGTATTTTTTACATATATGTAAAGTTTGAATTATATTTACTTTACATGCATCCTTTCCTCCGACGGTGTAGTATCCGGCACAAATTTGTCTCTCTGACAGGACTACGGGTTCCTCTGAATAGGCGTCTCGACAAATATTTAGTGGTATCAGAGGAACAGATACTTTCTGAAGAGCATCAGGGAGAGGGGGTCCTTGTTCTGTGAATTAAAGATGGGCTCTAAATACCTAACCTGATCGTAATGAAGACCTGAGAAAATGCTGACGATGTTATAACATACCACTCAAAAGACGACTTCAAAGAAAGTGGACAACACTTGGGTGATTTGCACTCCCAGTTTTTGGTTGTACTCAAGTCGTTTTATTACAACCACCTATTCCTATTTTGTCCTGGGTCTAGAATTGTATCACATGATTCAACTATTAAAACAACTGCCACAATCGATACTACTATGCAAAAGAAGAAAAAGAACCTTCGATATTTTCTCGTTAATCTATTATGGCTGGTGGGTATTGTGACACACAGCCTTTCAATTCTGGGTGTTCTCCAACTTATTACAAGTAGCATACATCCCCAGAGTACCAGTATGTCCATAGCAATGAAGGAAACCCAAAATCTGACTACGAAGGGTTGTATTTTTTAATTTTGAAAAACACACACGTGAGGTACTATATCTTGAGACCATGCTGACAGAATTAATAAGCGTTTTTAGTTAATGATCGTAAACGTTGGAGTATAAAGATAAACCTTTCACTACGTACGAACATCTAGTGTTGTCATGATAACAACATGTTAAGTGCGATTACCTTCAGTGAATCCCCACCCTGTGACTATACACTGTGTCCCAGCTTCATATGTAGCATCTGCATCAGGGAGACATATACTTCTTAGGTTGGTGCTGGCGTTCAACGGGAGAGGCTCACTCACGGTCACAACAGCAACGTCATTGTCATCTAAAAACACCAACAGTATGACTTCATTGGTTCTTTGTCATGTCCAGAAATGTTCCGAAATTTCTCATCTCTGCTTTCTGCTATTGCACTGGTGTGACTTGATGAATGTTGTTGCCATGGTGTATGTCTACATGTGACTACATTCACTCTTTGGGTGTTCTTTGCGCAAGACAAACCCTTATATGTGTCGGTCGTACATCACACACACTACATATTTAAGATAAGATGGGAATTATACATAACTCTAATATTGGCAAATACAGTATCAGAACATACATATGTGCTGTAGTGGTAGGTTGGTGTTTTCAGAATTATAACCTTTGAACGTTGAAATTTGGTCGCAGAATGAGAAGGAATAATCTTTGAATCTTTTTTGTATAAATGTGCCTAACTATTGGTTTTCATGTTAGTAAATGCTTTAAAAAATGTTGAGCCAATCAGAGTAATTCTTTGTTACTAATTTCCTGGTTTACGAATTGTGTTGTGAAAAGTACTGCTTGGAAGGTGGAAAGAAATCAAATAAAAAATACTTTCCAAATTGTGTATTTTGTATGTTGCCGTGTGTCAGTGTCAGTTACGATTGTCTTGTCTTCTTGTCGACGTTCCGTTTCTATTGTATGCACATCTTGTGTAGTGTTGTTGTGTGCACATAACTACTTGTTGTGTACACATAACTTCTTGTTGTGTACACATAACTTCTTGTTGTGTACACATAACTTGCACGTTAAACGGAAAAAGGTCTCTTGAGGTCATTTTTTGTAACACGTAGCATTTTATACGGACGGTGGAATACATGAACCAAATGGTTGGGAAATGTTTTGTCTGAACGTGCACGTTCACCAGTCTATCTTTACACACTCACAAGTTGAGGCGTTATAAGCTGGGTGCACTGCAATTTCCTTGGCTTCCACATATGTGAGAGATGATTTGTTGGTGGAACCGTAGCCTACGCTTAAAGCCCCTGGACGTTGTATTACATCACTGTAAAAGAAGAAAATAACGTTTTTCATATTTATTTATTTTGTGTTGAATATCACAAATGACTATATCATGATTCTATAACTAAGCACAATAAACAGTGATATGTATACGAACTACACAAAACTAAACAGTTATCAAATAAACAATGAGTGACAATTTGATCAAAATGCGTTAAAGAAGTTCTTGCTAGCATATATTGATGCAGTGTATTTGGTCGTATAGTAATGTTGTGTGAACACTTCTTTGAGTTGGTTAAATGGAGGCGGTTTATTAAAAATAAATTCTCCATAAATCATGTATTTTGATACAATGATTAGTGTATTATGTGTGGGCATGACTTTTATTTCGCTTTTAGCAATATTTCAGCAATATCGCTCGTACCTTTTCTGGGATTCGAAACAGGGCCTACTGTGTGACGAGCGAACACTTTAACCAGTAGGCTACGCCAAGCATCCTCATATTCACATGAACTTAATATGTCATGCTGCCTTTAGCCTCATATCTTCTTTATTTATTAGTTAATTGATGTCAACATTTTTTTCTTTTTGAGAGTTAAAGGGGGGGGGGGGTCGATGTTAAAGCGACGTTAAACCCAACTCACTCGCACAAAGGTGTCATAGGGATAAACTTCCCGACTTCCATCCATTTACGCTAGTAGATATAGAATACTTTTCAAAGCGGGGTATACCCAAACCTCTCACTAATTACTCTCTGACATTAGCTGCCGTACCTGACACAGTGTGCTGCCGTCAGTATAGAGTTCTTGCTGATAATGGACGCCCCGCACTCATATTTTCTGCGTCCTTGTTTGTAAAGGTGAACTGACCAGGGAAACTCCCTGTCTAAAGCTTCTGTACCACCAACTAACCGGAGCCCAGGGTATCGAGATGCATTGCCTGTCACCGAACTGAATCCACAGGAAGGAGTGGGGTCTGGAAATATAAAGAGTCACATACCATGTTAATTAAAGTCCTGAAGTGAGTGAACACTATTTCAGCTACATCTCGGCACAAAGTGGGAGGAGAGGCCGAAGTGATACAGGTCAAAGACGTTCACAACTTTGGTTAAATCCACGAGCACGGGAATGGTGCTGACAAACCTAGAAACATAATCAGGGCGAACCGGGATTTGAACCAACAATCATAGGTTTCTGGCGAGCCAAAGGGGCGCAACTCTGCACAGCAAATTGCAGCGCTTTAGACAACTGGGCCAACCGTGCCCCCTATGTTCCATTGACATACACGCACGAAGACGGCTATATGTGGCAACAACATTGTTCAAGTCATACCTGTGCATCGGTAGAAAAACAACAGCAGAAAGCAGAGGGGAGAAATTTCGGAACATTTCTGGAAATGAAGACACATACTGGCTCTGACGTCTTCAGTGGCTGGAAATATAAAACATATTTCAAGAGATGAATGAAAACTGGTGTATCGCCAAGCACCTGTCTATTTCTTACAAGTACACACTGCATGCACTTACCAATGCAGCAGTGAGACATTTATTACAACTACCCGTATGTAAGAAGACGATAATGATATAACAAACATATAACCAATTTTCATTATACATTGAAATTCCAGTACCTTATATATGTTTGTGGAAAAGTTGACCACACTTAGGATTAGGTTACAAATGGATTGTATACTCCCCAGAGAGTTAAGAATGCAAATTGAATGTACACTGATACAGGTAATTATTGTACGCGATATGGTCATCACAAAGTAGACAAAAAACTACTACTGAGGTATTATAAGTTTTTATCCATAAATGTTTTGTCTACTTTATCATCCTACAACTTCTATGGTCATGCTTTGTTTCAAATGCACATTTGATTATCATTTGCTCCCACTTCAATTATGCGTTTTCATACTCAAATCAGAGGGAGTGTTGCCATTTGAATGTAAAATACAACTTTCAGTTCTAGTTAAGAGGCATCCCGGATAGATATGGTCGCCGATAATATCGTATGCTTGCCGCAAAAGTAGGCTCAATGTGTGTCATGTAATGTGCTCCTGATGTCAACCACTGGTTGACCTTGTCCAGATCTGATTATTTGCTGACCTGCGTTATACAGCTGTACTATTGCCTTCAGAGGAGTTAAACAATATTAGTACATTGAAATAGGATTATATTAATTCTTAAATCTAAATAATGTATTTTAATAACTCACCTGCAAATGTAGAAATATACACAAGCGTCAACAAGACGCACATTGTTATTTGATATAGACCGAATGCCATCTTGAACGTGGTTGAGATGAAATGAGTAACAAAAATGTTTTTCGTGTGATGAAACAAATGACTCAAGGTATCTGGTTCTTCTCCGCCGCCTTAGAAATGCAATGACAACTTATAGTTGCTTCAATATGTGGGCAGTGCCGATAGGATCCGTAATGATGGCTACATGTAGGGGGAGAAGCTCCTCATTAGTCACGCCTACCACCCTTGGGGAAATCCGAGAAGTAACGCCCGATTATGCCTCATTTAGGCTCAACGCATATCAGAACAGAGTTCGTCAGCATTATAATACTATCGGCATTATGACACAAGAGATAACGTTTGGTTACTATATGGATTGCTATGTAACAAGTGTTGACAGAGGCACCGTTAGAACGACAAAACCATACAATTCCATGTACTTCCTTGTCCAGTGAACACGTTTTGAAAATCGTGGCGTTCTATTTGACAACGTCATAAGATGGGAACGAGGAAGATCCTGTCGCATTGTCCAACCTGGTCATGTAAAGATATATTTGTCAAAAACGTGTGTACAGATGACCCTTGGGCCAACACTGCACACTGATCTTTAAAAAAGTCGTGTGTGTGTCTAGTACATCCAAGTGAGGAATAACTGAAGATACATACAATCTATTTACTACCTTCATAGACGTCATTGTTACAAATATTTATATGTCAAATACCTTGGTAAGATGAACATAGAAACCTAACATCATATTCATTTCAAATATTATGTCTCCACTTAGGTAATGCTCACGTCAGAGCTTTGCAAACATTTAATGCTGAGTGAGCTGATGAAAGGGGATACTGTGGGAAAGTAACGCCCTCGAATTTAAACCATGACAGAGAACCAGTGTGTTTGTACCATCGGCGTAACTCGAGATGTGTAATGTGTACAATAAACGACATTTCTTTTCAAGACTTTTTGAACACGTTCTGTTATCAGTGATCACTAGTGAGTTTGATTAAGAGCCGCTTTGAACAATGTTTCCTTTGGTCAAAGGGAAATTCGAAATGACGCAGGTCGTTAGTTGGGTGCTACTCTGTTTTTGCATATCACGACGGGGGACTCCAAAAAGGGTCTTCACTCATTGTACCGATGTGGGACTCGAACCAGGCCCTTCGCTATGACTAGTGAACCACAAGGCTATCCTATCGCCTTTATCATGTGAGGAACCTCGAGCATGGTCATAATGTGGACAAATACAGAAACAAGAACAGGACGAATCTGTCTTCGATTTGCGGATTCTGACGCAACTAAGGGACGCAACGTGTTGAGTTTTAGATTATTTAGATCGCAGTGCGCCCTCTTGTATCTAATATATACAGACAATCCAATTTTCAAGTACATTTATTTAAAAATATTCTTGACTGACGCAGAACTTTTCATTCTATCCAACAAATCAAGAGGTTCAAAACGATTATATCTAAATATGTACGTCTCTTATAGCAGTAATATTGATGTGAATATTCAAATGTATTCAGTATGCATCTATCGCATAAATTAACACATCATGACATCGGGCAAGCAAGTGTCCCTCCCAGAGAAGTAGTCAGTTCATCTGGGACGTTATCCAGTCAATATACTGTGGCACGTAGGCATACACTCCTGGATACAGAGCTCGACCACAGCCATATCCTCTGGATACTACACCATATACAACCCACTTGTCACCATCAGGACATATCAGAGGGCCTCCGGAATCTCCCTGGAAGAATTCATTGAAGACATCAGAAGCAATTGATAAATGAACATGAATCGATATCACAACTTAGTTAAACTCAATGTCATTCTTTTGTTGAAGAAAACGCAAAAAATGACCAATAAATTAACACGTCCCATTTTAATTCTGGAAACCCAAAAGTCCAGAAACTCTACGCTCTTTGCCCAGTCTCGGTTAAAGGTATTTACAAAATTAAACATGCCGTTTTCATGGGAACATACCAAGGAAGAAAAAATGAAAAAAAAATTGTTTAAAAACTCAATATTTAGACTATGTCGCCCATGGGCCTGCCCATGGGCGAAGTTTGGCCCATGGGCCTGCCCATGGGCGAAGTCTGGCCCATGGGTAGGCCCATGGGCGAGAATATGTTCCTTTACTTAAAACTCATGTTTTTGTTTCGCAAATACATTTAATGTATTCATTCAAGTATCATGACACAATATTTAACTCAGTTTAACTTAATTCAACGATTTTATAGCGATATTGAAATATTTCGCCCATGGGCGAGAAAAAGGTTTGGCCCATGGGCGAGAATATGTTCCTTTACTTAAAACTCATGTTTTTGACTCGCAAATACAATTAATGTATTCATTCAAGTATCATGACACAAAATTTAACTCATTTTAACTTAATTCAACGATTTTATAGCGATATTGAAATATTTCGCCCATGGGCGAGAAAAAGGTTTGGCCCATGGGCGAGTATATGTTCCTTTACTTAAAACTCATGATTTTGTTTCGCAAATCAAATACATTAAATGTATTCATTGAAGTATCATGACACAAAATTAAACTCATTTTAACTTAATTCAACGATTTAATAGCGATATTGAAATATTTCGCCCATGGGCGAGAAAAAGGGTTTGGCCCATGGGCGAGTATATGTTCCTTTACTCAAAACTCATGGTTTTTTTCGCAAATACATTAAATGTATTTATTCAAGTATCATGACACAAAAAGTTAACTAATTTTTACTTAATTCAACTATTTTACGGCGTTATTAAAATATTTCGTCCATGTTTACGTCAGTCCCTTTCAAGCAACAACTAACTGTTTGCAAAGTATATTGTATCATGTGAAATATACTTTATATTATATCATTACATTACTATTTAAAAAGGGCATTTGGTTGGATGTTTCCTTTAGTTCTACAAATTTCACCTGTTTTACATATTGTAGCGATCTTTAATGAACCCGGCCTTACCTCTCAAAACGTTTTGACAGTTTATCATACGAATTCATGTGCTTGTACTCCAATTCATTGGAGTTATTTTCCACAACATTAAATTTTAGTTAGTTTCTATTTCATTTCCCATTTAATGTCCCGTTGATACATCACACTGGGCAATTACGTGACACCAGGTATGCAATATACAGGTACGCGTGCGCGTATTTTAATGAAAAAAACTATTCGTCTTTTATTGCATAACGTTTGGCTGAATATCTTACATTCTAACGAAATCTCGAAATAATTATTTAATTACATGCGGTTTCGAACTGACCAGTGGGAATTATGTTTCAATGAGATTGAGGAAAACGTGAGTGAATATTGTGACACTAAGGCAACTTTTAACTGCATTGTCACTTTTGGTATGAAAATGGTAACAGTTCAGAAAAAACAACAGCCTCCTTATGATAATTCTCATTAGTACGTTGTATCTAATTACAGTGTCGGCCTTATTTACAGGTGATTCTACAATACCTGCTCTCGGTCAATTACGATCTACCACACCACGCGTGAATAAACAGTTATGCAGGTGTTGCTGTGGGCAAATACCTAGCCTGAAAATGTTTATTTTTTTTAGGATACATGTTTTACAAATGTTCGTTGATATGTGGATATATTAAGCACAAAGACAAAAAAATGTTTATGAAAGATGAATTAGTGCCTTGATATATTCATCGAGATGTGTATTATCGTTTAAGGGGGTCATTCAATAAACGTATGTTTGGAGGAGATATCAAAGGAGCCGCCCAATATACACAGTGTCGTCCGGTGAACTACCACCCCACCCTGTCCATTAGAGTTATGTAATCGGTACACAAATATATTTGATGCGGTGTCAGTGCGGAAGGAGTTTGAATTACGTCCGCCAGTTGTCACAGAAATCTTCAAAGTATAGAAACAATAAACAAGGTCAATCCGTACTAATTACCTAGTGACGCACGTAACAACGACTGTCAATAGGGAAAATGGCGAAAACAAATTGAAATAGATTTTAATAAAACATTACTGTACTACATAACTCGCAAAAGCGGTGCCTAAAATTTTTGACCGTGTTATGTGTGTTGTAAACTGACGAATAGCAAGTAATTGTCATGCTGTACGCATGGTTCCATATACAAATTCAGTTATACAACCGGTATGAAACTGAGAACTGAGATACCAAGTACGACCTGCATTCACACACGGAAGCAATATACTTGTGTGTATGCCCTCTCCTCTAAAAAATGTATCACTAAAGTATTTGCATTGTAATAAATATAGTAATGATAAAACTTGGTAATTTGGTAGGTCTCCGACAGATATGATTTTCAGTTTTTTTACACCTTTGATTGATACGGATTACGTACCTGTAGTCTAGTCACTGTCTCTAATGTATCTGCTTGTTAGAAATTTCAAATGTCTTGTTATAGCACTGTTCCTAAAATACGGCAGTTTCTTTTATCGGGTATAAATAGTTGATTCGTCTTGTCACGCAGTCATTTTTTACTTGATCGAATGATTTCCACGAAAAATTACGGCAGAGAGTTTTGTATTTTATTATATTTTTAGAAGATTTTAGAAGATGCTTACATCACTGTATCTCAGAACGTAAAACTGATAACATTCAAACATGTAATTAGTACACAGTTAATTGTTACATATAATTTCCTGCATATTCCTTTTTGAACAAAAAGCCTACATGTATACTGATATCGGTGTCCACTGTTAAAAGGGTATTAGTGCAGTCAGCCATGGTAAATGGAGAGACAATAATAAGGTGATTAATTATAGTCTGTTGCAGAATATGCGGTATAAGTGTAGTCATTGATACATATACACATTACACATATACAGATGAAATACACGATATGATGCAGTGCAAGAACAAATTAAGATACGGTTTCTATTAAAAATAATTATACGATTTTGGATTTAATTAGCATGTTTAAATTTTCAGGCCAACACGGCTGAGATACAGCATCGGCATACTCAACTGGAGTTGTTTTCTGCCGGTCGTAAGTTCATTGTTTGACTGAGCACACTCGTGTCGGGGTTGCGATATTTTCTTCTCTTTGTTGGCAACCTGCCACCGGTCTGAATTTTGAGAAAGGTCTCAGCATGGGACTGTTAATTACTTGTAGATGTTGGGTGCGGTTAGGACCAAACTTTTTCAGCTCAGAGTGTTAGTGGTCCTGGAACCCATAGTGTCAAACAGGTTCTGCACAAAACGTCCATCAGATTCTATTGTTCAGCAACATTGTCACTGAATTTCAGAACTCTGGCATGATATAATAATCAAGGATTTCGAAGGTGAACGAGGGGAAAGGCAGACGCACGTGGATTTACCCTCAGGTTATTATTGTCTGGAGTTCACATTTTGGGGCATTTCATATACTAATTGAACAGAGTTCACCTGCACATGTCCACTTTAGTGATACAGACTGTAACCAAAAATGCAATGAGCCGTAGCTCTTAATCCCTTATAACAACGGTAACAACAACCAGGGTGAGGACACAGTAAGGTTAAACCGTGTCCAACAGACAATCTGAGGTGGCTATCTCCCATCAAGTCAGCTCTGTTTTTAAGCGCATAGTTATGTTTTTACATATTGAAATAAAAGGAATGAAAAAAATGATATTTAACAAACCTACACATTACCAAATACAAAACTGTATAACCCTCTCTAGACTTCGTTCCAATTAACCTGGATCATTCAACTCGCTCGCGAAGGTCGTATGCGACTTTAAAGTGAATACGTCTACAGTGTACAAGTAACTTTTAACTGTATCATATATACTCATGATAAGCAATTATTTTCGTTCCTAATTCGAATGAGCACATTCTGAGGCTAAATCTGCAAAAGGACAGATAAAATATTTCTTTGTACAATGCAAACGATACAAACGTAGCGGCTGATAATAGAGACAATGATTTAATAATCTGCAATATATCAAGTGTTCTCGTTCAATCTATTGTACATATTGAAGTGATTGTAAAGTTTCAAGGAGTACTAAAATGTTGTGGTATTATGAATGTATTTAGAATATGAATAGCGAAAAACAGTCACCATATCGGATGTACATGTATAACTTGTCTTCCAACACCACGCTTGTGCCGAGGCCCATGGTCATAAAACTAATCGGTCCCATAAAAGGAGCAAATAGTTTCGCAGATACTTCTTGCTATGGTTCACTCACAATTGTCAGACGACCTAATCATCAGTCAGACCAGTCAAGTGTGACCAGCGTACCTGCCTGGTTTTGGCTCCTAATTACTGAACTGCCCAATACTTTCATACTGTGGGCAAAGTAAGCGGCCTCGTTGAGTGATACAGACTAACAAGATTATAATTGTGTTTGTAAGTGCGTTTAATCTGTGTCGGGTTGCAGTTGTTTTATTAGTCAAGACTACGGGTAGTTTTTTCAATGAAACCTTTTAGCCGTTGAGTTTGTTTTGCATTCATTTCATTAAATACATTGTTAGGTAGAATAATAACACGTTATACGGATAAAACATCTCCCTAATCTGAGTATAATCTCACATGTACTCTAAGTACCGTACTATATTACTTTGCGGAGACACTGAGTATAATTTTTTAGTTGGCATTGTATGCTGTCTGAATGACTTTACACAAATCCCTGCATTCAATAGACCCGTGAAGATCTTCAACAAACCATTCTTGGCGTAAAAGGGCGACAGCGCTTGTCGTAAGAAGCGACTACCGGGATCGGGTGGTCAGGCTCGCTGACTTGGTTGATGCATGTCATCGTATCCCAATTGCGTGGATCGATGCACATGATGTCAATCACTGGATTGTCTGGTCCAGACTCGATTATTTACAGACCGCCGTCATACAGCTGAAATATTGCTAAGTGTGGCGTTATACAACTAACAAACAAACAAAACACAAAAAGAGAAAGTGTATGAGTACTAAAACTTGCAATAGATATGCCTACCCTACGTACACACATGTGTCCCATTCGACAGTCTACAACACACGAATAACTGTCAAACAAGTTTGGGTACCCTTTCTGTTCAGGCAAGTTATTTAGTTCGATAATTTTATATTAAAATCCTTTTCAATTTGTTTTCATCCTTTTTCCCTATTCCATGCATGTTTATGTTGCTACATCTTATTGCTCATGTTTCCAAGTATTGTAAAACACTTTAATGTTTCTCCTTCTTAATCTAACGTTATAATATTTCCGGTCATTGCCATCATCTAATACACAAGAGATGATACCAAGACATATTTTATTCGGTTTTATGGTCTATGCGGTCTTACAATTGATTTTATTAGTCTTTAAATCTTATGTCTAGTAAATATTTTCACAAACAGGGCTGTTAACTGATATAAGGAATGTAACATCCAGTTGAGGACTGAATACGACGTACGTTAGTCTGGTAACGACATTTCTACAATTAATATTTTGAATAAGCCGTTAATACGCCAGTTGTGACAGGGATGATGGTATGGTAGATGTAGCAGACATATTGACAGCCGTTGTTACGCGAGTCACTAGGTTATTAGTACGGCATTGGCCTTGTTGATTGGTACTATACTTTCTGTGGCCACTGGCGGACGTAATTCAAACTCCTTCCACACTGACATCGCACCAAATATATTTGTGTACCGATTACATAACTCTTACTGACAGGGTAGGGTGGTAGTTCACGCGAAACGGACGACACTGCGTATATTGAGCGGCTCCTTTGATATCGCCTCACAACATACTTTTAATGAATGACCAATTAAACGATGATACACATCAGGATCGCGGAGAAAATACAAGCTTCGTTCGCGTTGAATATATATATTAAGGCACAAATTCATCTTTCATAAACTTTTTGTGTCTTGGTGTTTAATATATCCACATATCAACGAAAATATGTAATACATGTATCCACAAAAATATACATGTACAGGCTAGGTATTTGCCCACAGCAACACCTGCATAACTGTTTATTCACGCGTGGTGTGGCAGATTGTAATTGACCGACAACAAGTATTGTAGAATCACCTGTAAATAAGGCCGACACTGTAATTAGACACAACGTACTAATGAGAATATGAGAATTATCATAAGAAGGCTGTTACGTTTTTCTTAACTATTACCATTTTCATACCAAAAGTGACAATGCAGTTAAAAGTTGCTTTAGTGTCACAATATTCACTCACGTTTTCCTCAATCGCATTGAAACATAATTCCTACTGGTCAGTTCGACACTGCTTGTAATTAAATAATTATTTCGAGATTTCGTTAGAATGTAAGATATTCAGCCAAGCGTTATGCAATAAAAGACGAATAGTTTCTTTCCATTAAAATACGCGCACGCGTACCTGTCACGTAATTGCCCAGTGTGATGTATCAACGGGTCATAAAATGGGAAATGAAATAGAAACTAACTAAAATTTAATGTTGTACACGCACATGAATTCGTATGATAAACTGCCAAAACGTTTTGAGAGATAAGGCCGGGTTCATTAAAGATGTTGGGTGCGGTTAGGACCAAACTTTTTCAGCTCAGAGTGTTAGTGGTCCTGGAACCCATAGTGTCAAACAGGTTCTGCAAAATACGTCAATCAGATTCTACTGTTCAACAGCATTGTCACTGAATTTCAGAGCTCTGGCATGATATAATAATCAAGAATTTCGAAGGCAAAACCTTTTCTCGCCCATGGGCGAAATATTTCAATAAATCTGTAAAATAGCTGAATTGAGTAAAATTGTGTTACATTATGTGCCATGAAAATAGTTAGAACTCCTGCATGTATTTACGAAACAAAAACATAAGTTTTAAGTAAAGGAAAATATTCTCGCCCATGGGCCAAACCCTTTTCTCGCCCATGGGCGAAATATTTCAATATCGTTATAAAATCGTTGAATTAACATAAAATGAGTTAAATTTTGTGTCATGATACTTAAATAAATACATTTAATGAATTCGCGAAACAAAAACATGAGTTTTAAGTACAGGAACATATTCTCGCCCATGGGCCTGCCCATGGGCCTACCCATGGGCCTACCCATGGGCCAAACCTTTTTCTCGCCCATGGGCGAAATATTTCAATATCGCTATAAATCGTTGAATTAAGTTAAAATGAGTTAAATTTTGTGTCATGATACTTCAATAAATACATTTAATGTATTTGCGAAACAAAATCATGAGTTTTAAGTACAGGAACATATACTCGCCCATGGGCCAAACCTTTTTCTCGCCCATGGGCGAAATATTTCAATATCGCTATAAAATCGTTGAATTAAGTTAAAAAGAGTTAAATTTTGTGTCATGATACTTAAATGAATACATTAAATGTATTTGCGAAACAAAAACATGAGTTTTAAGTAAAGGAACATATTCTCGCCCATGGGCCTGCCCATGGGCCTACCCATGGGCCAAACCTTTTTCTCGCCCATGGGCGAAATATTTCAATATCGCTATAAAATCGTTGAATTAAGTTAAAATGAGTTAAATTTTGTGTCATGATACTTCAATAAATACATTTAATGTATTTGCGAAACAAAATCATGAGTTTTAAGTACAGGAACATATTCTCGCCCATGGGCGAAATATTTCAATATCGCTATAAAATCGTTGAATTAAGTTAAAATGAGTTAAATTTTGTGTCATGATACTTCAATAAATACATTTAATGTATTTGCGAAACAAAATCATGAGTTTTAAGTAAAGGAACATATTCTCGCCCATGGGCCAAACCTTTTTCTCGCCCATGGGCCAAATATTTCAATATCGCTATAAAATCGTTGAATTAAGTTAAACTGAGTTAAATATTGTGTCATGATACTTGAATGAATACATTAAATGTATTTGCGAAACAAAAACATGAGTTTTAAGTAAAGGAACATATTCTCGCCCATGGGCCTGCCCATGGGCCTACCCATGGGCCAGACTTCGCCCATGGGCAGGCCCATGGGCCAAACTTCGCCCATGGGCAGGCCCATGGGCGACATAGTCTAAATATTGAGTTTTTAAACAATTTTTTTTTCATTTTTTCTTCCTTGGTATGTTCCCATGAAAACGGCATGTTTAATTTTGTAAATACCTTTAACCGAGACTGGGCAAAGAGCGTAGAGTTTCTGGACTTTTGGGTTTCCAGAATTAAAATGGGACGTGTTCGGCATACACGTTTGATTTCTTGGTTGTGTATGTGCTGTCTATGTGTAAGTGCTCGTCAAATCACCCCATAGAGCAGGCGATCACAGCTTTCATTATTAGATGGAATTGACCAAAGCTCAAAGGTCTGTACAAAAATGCGCCCAGATAATCATTCGAACGCCCACATGATGGATATCTAATGAAAGCCCTTAAAACATGCTATCCAATGAAGTATTACACAAAAAACATTAATTTATCTTTATAAAAAAAGTCCTTTTCCACGCACCGTGCAGGCATCAACTCCCCCAGTGCCATAATATCCGGCACACACCTGTCTCTCCGAGACAAGGATGTAGGGGTTGTTGGAGTAGGCTCGTTGACATGAGTTGCGGGGCACCAAGGGTACAGCTGCCTTTTGAAGACTACCCGGGAACCTATTACCGTTTTCTTTAAAGAATGAGGAAGAGATGACTCATTTGATGACACAGGATTGCAAATATGTTGTAGACTGGTCAACATTTGACATGAACATACGAATGTCCAAGTGGTTAATTGCATATGTCGTAGTGTTCAGTTGCAGTGGATCAGTTTCAGCTTAATAACAAAAAATAAACATACACATTCCATAATAAGTTATCCTTTGGAGTATATCAGCATCCATATCAAACGCTGAGTGTTATTTATTGCAATAAAATGTTATAATGTTGTTTATTTCGTAGGAATGTAGACCAGCGGACCAAGTTCAGCGCATACAACATATTGCGATATAACAGCAGTTAGTGAAATATTGACTGTTTCAGTGGAAGAGAATACAATTATCACTGAAATGCGAATTTAAAGGAACAACAGCAGCTACAAAACTAAATATTAAAACAATACTGGTTATGACATGATTCCCACCGCTGACACTCTTAATAGGCTTAGCGTTTACCATGTTCTTTTGACGAAATGTTTACCATTTAGAATTCCCCATCCAGCGATAATACATCTGCTGTTGCTATCATAGGATGCGCCGGCTTCAGGTAGACATATACTTCTGAGATTGGTATTCAGCGGCAGGGCTTCATTAAGAACCACAACAGCAATGTCATTGTCACCTGGAGAATCGAAGGAACAGCAATGACATGAGTGAATGTTATTTTACGCAGTCAGCAGTAATCGAGATATCACACGGCGGCCTGCACATGATCCAGTCTGGTGAAGGACAAACTGGTTATTCATGTTATGAGCAACCACCAACGCCTTCGGTGGGATGACACTACAGCATCCAAGTCACCGGGTCTGACCACCTGATCCAATTACGTTAAATAATAGAGTGCTGGGTATGTAATCTTACCGGGCTAATATAAGCAGTCGTAGACAAGATTAGCAGCAATCCACGGAGTAGGAGCAGAAAAAGACCCAATCATCTAGGTTAAGATAATGGGACCAAGCAATTCGCTTCACGAACAGAAACAAATTATATCATTTTCATGACCACTCTACTTTGTATTTACCTGTACGACCAAGCTGAGCTTCAAGGGCAGAATAGGTTCCCGCGCTTGTCGGAAGAGTCGATTAATGATAGTCGGATAATTACAATATGTGATCAGGTTGATGGTGTGTTATCATCCCCCGAAGTGTGGACCTTTAACAATAATGTGCATATTCATAATGCGTCAAATTCACACCCTAAAGCATGCTCAAATGAAATCGTCAATGGTCCAGCTCCCTGGGGAGTTGCAATCCCCGTGAGGTGCTAGAATATTAACAGTCACGTTACCTTCTCATCCTATCGGGTACCCATTCACGGCTGGGTGAACAGAGGCATATTTCGAACAAAGTCACTGAGTCGCCACCACATGCGCTACATGTGTTTCAGTGTTGGGCAGGACCGAAGCCCAAGAACTCAAAAACTCAAGCTCCCATCCAACTACCCTCGGCGACAAACATCGCTAAACTTCACCTGATTTGTAAACTGTGAGCTGTACTCAGAACCACGTGTCAACTTTGCTCTTGTTGTGAACCACATGTCCGGACCGTGATGAAGCTGGCATCCTGCTAACTGTCACGTGAACATACACATAAAGACAGTGCCCCATACTTGTTAATGTTAGTAGAGTTGACTAATCTGTTACATCTGATTGTGTGTCATCGTCGCCGAGATATGGATCGTTGCTCATATTGTCAAAGACTTTATTGACAAAAACTGGAATATCTACTTGATATAGCTGTTTATTTTCAAGATTCACACTCAGATGTGTGTTGTTTGGCCCTAAGCTAATTTTCAGAAGAAATATACAAATGTAACCAATGCATTATTTTTTAAGGATTCAAGAAGTTATCATTATGATATAGCATACCGTTTGTCTGATTATAATCAGGATGGACGCTGATCCGACTCGCACGAACATAGACGAGTCGGGATAGTCTTGTAGATCCATATCCAATTCTCAAGGATTTGGGGCGTCTCACAAGGGATCTGTGGTGGCAGAAAGTTATCTTTATACTAATAATAGATACCTTTGTATAAGCTTTGGTTATATATATTAACATTACATGTACACTATACAAATGAACTAATATATACGAATTAATATGTATGGTATCGATATTATGCATGTTGCAGTCACTTACATGGATAAAAGCGACAAAACCCTTTGGATAATCATAAGCCATCTCTGCAAAAAGCATGTACAATTCCGACAATATTATGAACTTACGTAAATCACAATCAATTAGTGATAACATGCCGTATGGGCCTCAATGTTCACAGAAGTTCGAAGATAAATGGTGTGCCAGAGGCATGATACATGGGACACGTATCAATGAATTATAACCAGGACAGAAGTCCGCCATGACCATGGAGTAGCCAATCATGGATCTGGAATTCGAGCCCACGAATATCATTTATACCAGTATTCTGAATTGTGTTTCTCACCCTCAGTTATGTAGGAAATCCAGAGGTGAGCAGTAGCGTATATACTTTTTCAAACCCATTTAATTGCATATATATTTATGGAAACTACATGTGGATCTAACGCTAAATGTCAACTAGTTGTCATATATTGATAACACATATCTTGCAGTTAATGCGGGACACTGGTAGCACAGTCGTCTAAGGCGCCGCAATTCGCTGTTCAGAGTTACGTCCCTTGGACACAACAGAAACCTACGATTGAATCCCGGTTCGCCCCGATTATGTTTCTAGGTCTGTCAGCACGATACCCATGGTGGTAGTTTTCACCAAAATGGTTAACGTCAAAGACCTGCATCACTTCGGACTGTCTTTCCACATTAAGCTGACCCGCCGTGATAACTGGAATACTGTTCAAAGCGACGTTAAACCCAACTCACTCATTCATAAATGTCATGTTCACATGTACTTGATTCATTATTTGGATAATATTTATAAAGCATGTTTTCTGTTGACTTAATGATATCATTATCTTTAAAATAAAATATACACTTTTAATTTACTTAAATCAACCTCACTCACTACAGTCAATACTTTCAAGTTTAATAACTAATAAAAGAACATATATATATGTGCACTGGTCAGAAATACAAGTGTCAGATACCTGACACAATGGGCAGCCGTGAGGATGACATCTTTTCTGATGATGGAGCCACCACACATGCCGATCAAAGATTCCTCATCTTCCACGTTAACAGTCCATGGGAACTCTCTCTCCTCCGCGTCTACACCGTTGACGACGCGCGGCATAGCGTACAGAGACGCCCTTCCCGTCACGCGGCTCTCCCCACACGCCGGCTCTAAGTAAAACCAGTCAAATGACTTAAAACAATTTAAATATATTTGCTGACGAATACTACAATAATTCAAAACTGATATATTGTTTCAGTACAATGCTACTATTTTAAAGTGAAGTTCCCATTTTACATGTCCAACTTATACTTTTTTAACAGATATGTATGTAAAGTTATACCTTTGTTAAAGGTAATCATAATAATAAGTATTTATAAAAAAATAGCATACTGTAAAACTTCAGTAAGGTAAATGTGAATACGATTAAATTTAATTTCCTAGACATATTATCAAACTGAGAACACAGGTTTGAGTAAACCGTTTAATGATAATTATATGAACTGAATTTGCAAAACATAATTTCATGTCAACTATTTAATAAACGTAAGCACATTAGATGTGTGACATGATATCGTGTTTGGAATTAAGATATTAATACAAGAAAATGCTTTTGGGGGGTAAATCATGATATAAATAAGTCACTAAATGAATGGAAATTCTGACCCCTAGCCTCAAATGGGCCATGGAATTAATGCGGGTATCCTTACTATTGACAATTTAAAAACACTCTCTTATAATTCGTCAGCCACCATATACTAAGGGAAACTAACGGATGTCAATAGTGTAGCTTCAATGCATAAATACGTTACCTGTATTTCGCGCAATGTTAAAATCAGTACAGTTGTAGTATCCAAACAGCACCGGGCAGAGAAGAGAAGAGTCGAAACAATTCAATAAAGACTCACAGAAACGTGCTCTTCTTTGCGCAGCTGAAATATAAATGATTAAATATCATATGATGAAATAATAATTAATAATGTTTAAACCCGCTATAACACGGCAATATTACTGCTGGTGTCCTCAGGTCTATGCTTCACACGATCTAACGTGGGGCTCGACAGGACGAAATAATGCATTGACATCTGCATGTACATGTTGGCTACTTGAACGTCAAATTAAAAGTGAACAATGAGACTCAATTGTCGGGAGAACATAATGACATCATGTTGGTTAAATATTTCTACCCAGCAACATGTTTACAACATTCTCAACATAAAGATTTTTTCTCTCAAAATGAAAGCATGTTGTGTTCATTATAAATACAAAACACATTTAGGCTTACCTCCACACCAGCACAAGAAGCTAAAAACAGTTACACGGAAAATCAGACCTCTTCTTATATTCCAAATCATTGTCATTTTGTTCCCGTAGTTTACACTATCAGATCATATTTATCTCTTCTGAATTGTATATGACAGAACCTTCATAACAAAGGCTTTTTCCTGCTAGAAAATCTGACTCAAACCACAGAACAAAGGTCCTTTCCTGCTTAAAATCTCACCACAGGAAACTAACCCTCAAACTAAAACTATCGCATGTTTACTGACTCATTGATACCCACTCAAATCCGGGTTCTTACCTAAAGCAATTAACAGGAGAGCGTCAGCAGAGATCTGTCAAGCTGAAAGCTTTGAAGAATGTACTCAAGTAACAAGTAGGCAATTAAATCTTGAAACTAATGAATGTTTGAAGCAAACTACAAAGAATAATGATATGACAGTAGTGTGTATACAGATTTTTAGTAATTTATAAGCTTTATTCAATCGTTGGGTAACGACGGCAAATTCCATAGCAATAAACCCATGCACATATGCAGTTTTGCATAAGCCATGTTTAGGTAGGACTTACGAGAGACAACACAAGCCTTGAAAATACCTTCCAACAAATCATGTTTCTAAATGCAGCGACACTGGCGATAATCCACAATTAAAATTCCTTGTTGCGGGTAGTTAAGGTTTGCCGTCAGTCAATATGCATTCTCTGTTGGATACATTTAATAAAAATTTGCTCGATGTAGTTGTATTTATATGCTTGGGTGATTGGTGAACAGGGAGTGTCTTCAAATATTCTGTCGTTACTTGAAGTTTGGTTGATATCATGAGGTTTAATAGTCAAATGTTTCCACAAAAGATTTCTTAGAATTCGTTAAAAGTGTGTTACAAAATGAACAGTAGCATAAAGAAGGTAAACAAAGAAACAGTCACCAGAATCATCGACTGCATTAAAAGGTGTTCTGTAGAACATGCTTTAAATAAATGTTAGACCGCTGGACAAAAGATCCAGTCTGACTCCTAGGTACAATTTATGAATGGCAATATTTTATCCAATACCTTAATCTTGCTGGACGATGGCTGAAAGCGGCGTAAGATTCCTCACTGAAAATGAGAACAAATTATAATTATAGATTATTATTGTTTTGGGGTTTTGATGGGATATTCTTACATGTATTGCAAAGTTTAACATGTTGCTAGGAGGAAGGAGAGTGTTCTAACAACTAGATTACCGCAAGGTCTTGTTTGAGGCGTTGACAAAGTTTCATCAAAACATTTCTTTCATTGTATGATTAATTTGTCTGATCATGTTTATCAACACATTTGAAACGATGAATACATATGTGAAATCGCATGACCGTATATTAGAGTGAGAGGTATTTGGAAACGTCCATAAATATATTATTAACACTTCAAGACAGAATTGGACAGAAGAAAGGATTCGATTTCAAAGAAACCCACCTGTTGATGAGGTTGAAGATTACCATCCAATTGGATGATGTTCTATGATATGTGAACATTCACACACCAAAACGAAGCATAATGTCGAGACATACATGTACAGTTTGTGTGCCAAATACAAATAATCGACCCAAGGATAATTCAAGGGTCTCACACTACCTCTTGTGTGCTTGAACAACTACCTGAACATGGATACATGCATGTCTTATATCAAAGTGACAAGCCCATTTCCATATTCATAAGCAATCACTGCTAAAGAAACATATCCATGTAATGATATACACAACAGGCGTATTTAAGGGAAGGCAGGTATCTGACCCGAGCAAGGACTAATATGATTACATATTTTGCTTGTATCTGTTAGGTGGGAGCAAAGGTTAGGAGGTGAAGCACTGAATCTTGCTGCAATATATTCTCAGGGATAAAACAACTGTTTAACATTTAGGTGTATGCCATTGACAATGGCAAGTTTTAGAGATAACCAATCAATGAACTTTATCTATTCAGTATTGTAGGCCATAGGCCCATGATACAATGGTAATATAGGTAGTCGAAGACTCAGTGTGCCAGTTTGTTTCTGATACACATTGATATATATATGTACATCGATAGCTTTTTGAATGTGTATCCGTAATTAGTGAGTGAGTGAGTGAGTGAGTGAGTTGTGTTTAACACCGCTTTTAACAGTATTCCAGTTATATCGCGGCGTGTCAGCTTAATGTGGGAGGAAAGCCCGAGGTGATGCAGGTCTCAGGCTTAAATCACTTCAGTGAAACCCACGAGCACGGGTATGGTGCTGACAAACCTAGAAACATAATCGGGGCGAACCGGGATTCGAACCCACAATTATAGGTTTCTGGCGTGTCCACGGGACGCAACTCTGCATAGCGAATCGCGGCGCCTTAGACGACATAAATACATGAAACTTGTGTCTAGTAGGATAGGTATAATATGTTTCATACATCAAAATAAAATGATTTTCGTCTTCTATACAGTTCTCTTTACAAATAACACAAATTCTATTCTCTCTCTTTTCTGAAGTTAATCTTCCTGATTCAATTCTTAGGCGATGGGAACTGCATCTTTACCGTGCCATTGTGGTTCTTAATTTATAACATGTTAGGACTAAGATATAGTATTCGGTATTGAAGTTAACTTTATACAATGAGTAATCATATGATTTTGTGCTATCAGTTAATTCTGACAAAACATTTGGTACGTTTGGAACAGACTGTTATTTCCACAGATAGCCCAAACCTGAACATAATAAAAGCTGTCTAACTTTAGAGGCCCAGTTTGTTTTACCATTGTGCGCAGCATTAAGTAACGAAATATATGATTTTCTAACAAACCTTTAGTCAGGCATATGTAAACTTTCACACCGATATTTTATAACGCTTTTACAGACATACATATATCGAGGGTATCTTCCCCATTCACCTCTTATAACATTATTTGCAGTTGTACATTTAACACGCAGGAAGGGCTTACAGGCAAACATGTACAGTTTCAATTTCTTTCAATTCACGATTTATACCTAATTTACAATCTACTTACTGAGTATTGTGGACAGCTCCAACCTAATATTGACAAGTAATTGGACCATGCACGCTTTAGGGAATCAGAGATGTGTTTTCTCCAGTATGTGACTTATGGCACACGTATACTGAAGCCCCTAAATATTTTTTGAAATTGATATTACAGTCTGTAGCTTGATTATGATGCACCCCATATGTACACATAATTTAAACGCCAATTGTAAATCTGTTGAATATGTGCCCTTTATCACATCAATTTATTCAGAATGTTGGTGAATATGTAGTGAATGGTGAGTACTTTGATTGTGATAAAGTGATGTCTTCTCGTTGTTGAACTATTTGTTTTGTGGTGGGAAATGGAAAGAAAACACTTGTAAAAAATGTTACGGTTGTAAATAACCTTTGAAGATTCTTAAGTACGTTGCTTTTGCCTTAAAAACACAGGTATACATGTACGACAACATCATCTGTATAAGAATATGACAATTACATTCCCATTTTATGTGTGTCGTCAAAAATATGCTTTCGTCCTCCTGAATCTTATTATGTCTAGATAAGTGGGTTTAAGGCGGGACGTCATTAACAGATGACTCATGATATAGTTGGTTTTAGATTAAATACGTCCTTTAAATCTTAGAGCTACTGCTCAATTATAGCTCAGGGAGGAAAACGTCTTAATATATATAGGTATGTATACATGCTTCTCTTTGATCTTAATTGCACTTTGATTAAAAACACAAACGATTAGCCTTTAAGACCTACCCTGTGCATGTTGACCCAAGTACAACATACAAAAACCACGGAGTGAGAATCAGACGGGATCATCCAGCGAAGCAATGTTGAGTTGCCAACTGTCTTGAATAATGCGTATCCTTCTTGTCATCAGCCTATTGTTCTGCATATGCCATTGTTTTCTTGCACAAGGAGTTGGAGGTAGGTGGATGTTATAATGCATTAATTTTCTTTTGATATGTAATGGCATGTAATAGAGCTACAGTATAAAATATGCTCTCAGGTTTATATAATTTTCACCGTGAAATCGTTTGCCTTTTGTTGTTCAAAATCAACATAAGTATATTTTTTCTGCTTTCAAATGATATGATTTTTGTGCTGTACGTTGAACAATGTATAAGTTCTACTTGCTAGATAGCAAAGCATTTTCAAATGTGTTTCATTTCATGTTCATGTGATCGTCTTTAAAAACTAGTACTTTTATCGATCTTTAATCAAAACGTTGCGTCGGTCCTATAGAATTGCTAATTAAGTAAGGCTTGAACAACTCATCTGCTTCTTTCTTTGGCTGTACTGTTTAGTGGAATTATCAATCTTAACCAATTAACGACACTAGCAGTAATGGACGTAATGCTATTTATGAATATATAAAGATTTGTAAGGAAATAAGTATTTGCTAATTTGCTAAAGAAATCATGTTTACCTCAACAATGAACGATCTGTTTATTTAGTTTTTATTTCGTGAAGAGTTATGCAAGATTCTGACCAATCTCCTTCATGATGCGGATTCCCAGCAACTCTATGACCTACTTGACTGTGATAAGATGCGTAAGTTCATGCATATCAGCCCAACATATGAAAGATAATATCCATATTTGCAAAAAACTGTGATAAGATGCGTAAGTTCATGCATATCAGCCCTACATATGACAGATAATATCCATATTTGCAAAAAAATAAAGGCGATTAGTTTATATCTGATTTTCAGGTCATGTTGTTATTTAACAGTGCAAAACATGTATTATAAAAAAAAAATATTATACTTTTTTTATAAATGCTTTTGAATGAACACGTATTTGGTTTGTATGAAAAATACTTTTGTTTGTTTTAGCATTTCTTAGACCACATGTAACAACAACAGAATAGGTACGTCCTTGTCCATTTCATTTACATCATGCATTGCATTGGATCACATAATATATTAAAGCATACATTTATTCCAGTATCTTCATGCGGTACAGTGCTGAACAGAAAGTGCCCACACCCATGGGTAGTTATTGTTCGTGATAAGAAAAGGAAGGCTGAAATGTGTGTTGGAACCTTAATAGACGAGAGGCATATCATCACTGCTGCCCATTGCTTCAGTCAAAGGTAAGAAAATGAAATAATATTCTTAAAGGTGGACGGGGGTTGGTTAATTGGCAGTCCTAGCAAATTTGATTCTCGTCCTTCAGATAATAGTTTCTGGGCAGAACATGTGCACTTACTTTAGAGCATAGTCGCCATTTAACATTTGTTTAAGCTATGTTTAGGATACGAGTTGGTTGTGTCCCAATACCCAGACATATGTCTATTATCATGCACAAGCATATCTAGATTTGTAAATAAAGTTGTCCGATTCATGAATTTATATATGATGAACCTTCTTAAAGGATACTACGTTTGTCTTGTTGTCAAAATGATTTAGAACAATAATGTTGGCGGGGTGAGATCATTACATGTTCCACGCTGGCTGATGGTATACTAATATTTGGTCATTTGTTATGGTGAAGGCAGATGAGTTTTACGAACCACATGGCTCATCCACATGTTTATGCATTGTATTCATATAAGGAAAATGTTCTTACTCGAAAATAACAAGTTATCACACACATCACTATCTCTAACAAATTCACTAAATCTGACAAAAGTCAGAATGGACAGATCGAGTTGCCTGCATATGAAAACAGAAAAAAGCGAAAAATCTGATTGTCAAGTAACCTTCGTGTTATAACCAATACATGTTGACTGCTGAGCTGCATAAATGTTTTCAACAAGCCCCCCCTCTAATGGTTGAAAGACACCTGTTTAACCCCTCTGAAGTTAACATCATGACGCCATTTGTTTTTGTAGCATTTGCTTGACGCTTCACGATTGAATGACGCTGTTCACAAGATGGTCCTAATATTGTGAGACAGACATATTTCATCGAATATAGGAACATGTACTTGCAATTTCTAAACTCGTGAAGAGTTCTCAAGAGTTCTAATACAATAAACAAATTAAACATCATGGGAAACCCAACAGCCAATTTACGTCAAAGAAATAACAACGACATACACTACATTCCATATTATCTTTACAAGGTATTTTCTCGCTGACGATGTGCATGTGGGTATGGGTTCACAAAAGGCTGGACAGCTCACCTACATAGACTTGGAGTCCTTTACGCTTCATCCTAAATACAGAAACACTGGTTTGGCAAGTAAGTTCTTACAAAACCATTTCCATAATCAATCAAATCTCTGCTGAAAACATATGGGATATAAAGAAAATCAATTCAATTCTCATTACTAAAAGGGTTGATGTTGTGCCTGTATTATTTTCAGGACACGATGTCGCAGTTCTCACCTTGAAGAAGAAGGTTTGGTTTACGCCCTGTATTCAGCCAATATGTATACCCGGAACAGCAACCAATCCTGAAAAGGGAGAACTGGTCACAATCGTAGGATTTGGGCGTAAGGGCGTTTTATTTCTTCCCTATATCAAACCATTTTGTCTATTTTTCAATTCTAAACTGTCGGGCAAAAGAAAGCACACACACCGATGTTTGATGGGGGCTAGAAATGAGACAAACAACAAATGGTTATGCGATTGGGATGTATTTGATACGGGCATCACGTTTGAGTTTTGCACCTGAAGTTTACAGTGTCTCGGTTTCTGTTTTCTAGCCTATTAACATTTTCATAGCATTTCTCAGTTTTGGGTCGAGTTCAATTTTCAAGTGTTTACCTTCTTTTGCCCGGCAATTTGTGTACTATTTGTATGTAGTGTGACTTGTCATATAGTTTCATTGGTGACAAAAAAAGGTATAATGTAGATGTCAATGTGATGTCCTTTTGTGTTGTCTTACAACTTTTAATATGCCAGTTTCCTTTGATGTTTTAAGGTTTCTGGAACAAACAAAGGGCAAGATTGCAGGCAACTGTGCTACCAGTAATAAGCCGTGAGGAGTGTGTGAACATCTACCCGGAAGTTTCGGCACTACAGCATTCGATCTGCGCTGGATTGTGGTCTAGCATATCTTCTTCGTCAGTTTGTCATGTAAGGAATATAATTATATTCCATGATTAATCGTGAGGCACAGTCTTAGGCGCTGCAATTCGCTGTGCAGAGTTGAATCCCTTCGGTACGCCGGAAACTTATAATTGTAGATTCGAATCCCGGTTCGCCTTGATTATGTTTTTTGTTTTGTCAGCACAATATATATCCGAGTTTGTTGGTTTCGCCTAACTGGTAAATGTCTGAAACCTGCATCACTTCGGACTTTCTTCCCACATTAATCTGTGATATAACTGGAATACTGTTCTGAGCGGCGTTAAACCCATCTTACTCATTCATAAATGTCATGTTCACATGTACTAAATTTATAATTTGGGTAATACTTATTGAATAAATTATCAGTTTACTTAATAATATCATTATCTATAAAACAGAACTTACAACTTACACTATTAATTTACTTTACAATGCGGAATTGAATTGAATTGAATATTCAGTTGATAGACATCCTTAAATTTAAAATACAACTTACAACTTGCACTATAAATGATCTCACAATTTTCAGGGAAATTCAGGAGCCCCAATGATGCTTCAACGAGAATATAAGTGGTTTCTGTACGCTGTCAGCACATCACACAGGAGTTGCGAAGAAGCTGTTTCTGTGTACATAGACATTCCTCACTATGCCACCTGGATCAACAGTGTTAAAGAACATGAACAGCTCTCTTGAATGTTTGCACCTATCAATGTTAAAATAAATGCGTGACAAAATGAACATGTACCGTTTCATGGCAATTTGATTTCCATTTTGTTTAATTTTATTTTTTGAGAGTTCATGTACACACATGTGCGTATAACTCGGTAGCTAGAAATAAACATAAAGTAATGTTTCAGTCTTGGTTTTTTGCTTAGACTATATTTTGAAATCTAAATATCCTTTGGTGGCGACGATTATCATGATCATGAGATGAAACATTTCATATTAAAAACAATTTAACAGGCAAATTCTCATTTGACACACACACACACACACACACACACACACACACACACACACACACACACACACACACACACACACACACACACACACACACACACACACACATAGACACACACACACATAACGTTATCTGTTCAGTCCAAATTACAAAGGTTACTGAATTACTGAAAAACAAAATGACTTGTGATACTAGAAATGTTGTTTACTTGATTGTTTTTCTAGTGCGTGCAATGAAAAGTATATAGGAAAGACAGAACTTAAATTAAAAAGAAGAAAGAATCTTCACCGTTCACAAATGAAGAGGCCACACCCCCTCTATTCCACTCAGTGAACATTTCGATAAATGTGGAAGCGGCAGTGTTTTAGGCTTCCCGCTATATAAGCTTAATTTGTATAATGTACCTACATTTTTTTCAAAAAGACCAACATTTCATTCATAAATACTCGCCTAAGTACAATGTAAAGGGGGTCAGTTATTTGTTCATTGTTACCTTGGTATTGTGACGCCATAATTCTCCTAAATGATATGACGTCACATAACTGTACGTTACAACTTCATAAACGTTAATTATGGCCTGATGAGACTCGAAACATTGATAACAATTCTGGTTTTCTTTGGAGAATAAAGATCAATATGGATTAATAAGGCATTTTCAATCCTTCATTCCCCCAACCCCCACACTCCCCTTGTGCTTTACAATTGCAATTCATCCCATAACAACATACCTTATAATTAGTCCTTCAGATTTTATTGCAGATCTTGTCATATACATTGGAGGAGGCAAGGAACTTGGCATTTTTGATAAACTTACTATCGGACAAGTTGGATGTAGATCTAATAGATAACACTTGTATGCAGTGCATTGCACGGGTTCTAACATTTACAAGGGTCTTATGCAAATGCTTTTAAGTAACGATGAACCCAGTGCACTGACAAGTTCAACTGTCCTCGTTTCAAGAGTGGCCTTTGTGTTAATTTGAAAACAAGCTTCAAATTATCTAAATTGGATAGTGATGACTTTTCTATTGACAAAGATGTACATAGATCCTCTTGCATTGTTGTAGCCAACTACATGCGAATATATATCAAATACTAATGGTCAAATACAAATGGTAAGTTGTTCCTTTAAAAGACAACGATAAAAGTCATTTCACTGGCATTAAATTGGTATTTTTTGTGCAGGAAAAACATGTTTATCCAATAGTGATTAGCATTCGTTTCTTTTCTTCTTTCTAATAGACCATTCAGCCCAACTTACAGGATTGAGAGTGCAGAGTTAGTGTAATGAATAGGGCTTATCAAGAGTACATAGTCATCATAGATGGTTCATGCTGAGATGTATAAATGTATTCAACAAACCCCGCTCTGATGGATTATAGGCACCTGTTTAACCCCTCTAGATCTGAAGTTGCAGCAATTATCACCAGAACACACACTGCATAATGCTATCATGTACCTTTCATCTTTAATGAGAAACATTCATGTTATTCTTTGTTGCTGACACAAAAAGATATAAGAGATTGATTATTGATTAGATTTATGCATGAACTTTAGGCCTATTGATACAATTAATTGCACAAAGTAGTGCAATTGAAGAAAATTTTCACACACACACACACACACACACACACACACACACACACACACACACACACACACACACACACACACACACACACATATATATATATATATATATGGAAAGTACATATCAAATTATGATAAATGAAATGAGAGTTAATGTTATGCATATCATTACATCATTGTTAATTGACATTAAAAAAAATATGTTTTGGGACAATATGGGACAATGCTATGTTGGTAGATTTACATGAGATTGATTATGGTAATCAGGAATATAAGAAAGAGTAATAAATCATAAAAATTAATACACATTTATACACTTTTAAAATGGCTTCATTTCTCTAAATCTTATATGTTCCCATTTTACATTTTGCTTTAAAATGGACCTGAACGATACATATGATATAAAAGCTCCTTACCTTCAAAATATGCTTTCATAATTGTATTATATATTGATTCCAAATACGTAATAGAGATACTAGTAACAACTTTATGTGTTTATGTACGTCTCATACCTTTGAATGCCATATTGAATTACACCTAATCATTTCAGAAATTAAATTGATAAAAACACTCACAATCAAATGAAGATGATGAAAAGGGAGCAAAGTGGATACACACTGTTTCCATAATTGGCAAAGTAAATAACACACCTCAATGTTATTGTTTTTCTTGTTAACGTTGCTGTCATGCAGTACCCTTCTCAATAAAACTTCGGATCGGTATATTAAGTTTAGGAATATGTTGCTCTATTTTGTTTAGTTTAATTTTGTATTGGCCACACGAATATATGTTGCAGTCAATGTGTAAAAACAAATTTCAAATAGACCTTATAAATCTCTCAACTTGTGTGAAAGATTGACAAAAAATATTAAGAAGTTCAAAAGAGCTTTAACTTTAACATCACAATAGATTCATTATGCTGGGTTTAGAAGCCAAAAACATGATACAAATTGACTTTTGTTTTCTGTGAATCCTATCACTGTCAGTCATGGTGATATAATTGAGCATCAACATGTTTGGAATTCGTGTTGTGTGAATTACCTATGTGAAAGTTACACAATGACTGATTTAACACATTGACTGATTTTACACATTAACTGTACTGTGTATACATGTAATATGAGGACTTTTTACCAAGTTTATTTGTTTGCGTACAACACAAGCTGAGTGAGCATGAATCTACTGCATTTCAAGTGCACTTGATAGGTGTGATATGAACAAGAAATAACAATATGGTTATGATTCAGACATATCAAAAATCGTAGAAAATAATATCTTATAATACCATCACCAGAAGAAGGAGTTACTGTGTAACGATAAGATGTAAAGAAGAAGAAAGGCGGTTTATGTAAATAGGGAATGTTATGAATGAACATTACAATTGACTCATTTTGTCAATGGCGACGTAGATTCGGTGTTGGCCATGTAGTCGTACTAACCACGCATTGATGTACTTAACCTGCACATATACTTTCCCCTATATAGGGGTTGACATCAGTGCATGAACAAACTATTGTCTCAGTTGATAAAGAAGAGATTCCACAGTTGTCTCTCGAACATAGACCTAAGTACATCTCAAACACCATTTAAAGAATAGGACTTTACACCAGTGCCCACTTCGCTTGTAATCTAAGCTGAAGAGTAGCCTTTTATTTGCGTCGGGTAATGGAAAAAGTAAAACAAATAATCCTTATCAAAAGATGGTGCAGGTACGTTTTCAGGGACTAGTTATAAGGAGGAGCTGGTGTGTTGTCTTGTGTCATCCAAATGAGGGTCAACATAGGAAATAGTTGTAATTCTTGTACGCGTATTTAAGTAATGTTATGTGGAAGCACCATCCTTTGATGCACCATTCTTGTCTCGTACACTATTACGGAAGATAAGAAGAGGAAACACTTTAATTGCAAACATGTGGACGAAATCTACACTTTTACTACTTGTACTATGTGCCTTATTCCTGACAACCGACAGCGCCAGTAAGTGTTTGCCCATTTTTTGAATTATTAATAATATATATGCTCGCGCTACAATGGTTATTTTTTTGGAATGGCAAAGTATAGCTGCCTTGTAAAAAAAGCTTTGTTTCATGTTTCAATGTATTATCACAATATTTTGTCATCATCTCAAGGCTAGGTATCATGTATTGTTTATTTCTGATTTATTGCCATATGAAGGGTATTATTTGATATAAATCTTTGTGTGGCATCGACTATATACACTTTAAAAGATAATCAATATACAGTGTATGTAAACAAGCACGGTATGTCGTTTGAATTAATATGTAAGAAACAATTTAGTGGTGATGGCATATGTTGTTAATATTTGATTACAATGAAGAAAGAAATGTACACTATATATATATATAGGTATCATATGGTTTAAACATATTTTTATTTCAAAAGAAATATGGATCGGTAAACAAGCAAAACTTGCTTATGTAAATACCTCTCCAGGTAATAACTTTACAACAGCTGGTTATATATAAGATTATATGTAAGATAGTGCTAAACATAAACATACTAAATGCACAAATGAAATATATGAAGCCACTACAAGTGGTGTCTGTGAAATAAGATAATGCAGTTATCCATTACATGCATAAAATGAGGCTATTCGAATCTTTTGCTTTTGACAATGAAATCGGGGACTGATTTAAGGATAGTCATGTTTGCAGAACTGTTAACTAAACTACTGCCATGTAATATCGTTTTTAAATCATACCCATGTTTGTAGAAATATATAGTGTTTCTGATATTATCGTATTTTTGACAGGTATAGAAAAAGTGAATTGCGTCTTCAAAGTGATACCTACAAGAGCAATCTGATATGTCTGACATGTCGTCTAAACTTATCAGCGTTTAGGTCACTGCAGCCGAGCCTAAGGCGACAGTGGACAATTTGGCATGATCTATAACCGTATTTTAAGTCAAAATTATTAATAATTGTATCAGAACGATTAATTAAGGATTTGAATTCTTTTAATGAGCAAGAATGAGTAACTTCATTGGGTAGAGTGTTCCGCAGGTTAATCGTATCCGGAAGAAATGATTTAGCATAGGTCTGGGTTCTACATTTAATTTTTTGCATGTTAGATCTATTTCTAAGGTTATAATTGCTTTTATCAGAGACTGGACTTGGAATGAGATCGTTGAGATATACAGGTGAAATACTGTTTTTCATTTTGTAAAATGTAGTCAGTTTGAAGTGGTGTCGTCGTTCTTTTAGGGACTGAAAGTTTGTTTCGTTATAAAATTTAACATGACTGGTACCCCGAACCGCCCCACAAATAGTTTTCAATGCGTCCAAATGTAAATTATCATATATACATGTATAAATTCCCCTGTATGCATGATGCATGCGATTGTAAATCATGGAATGTTACTATGTTCAGTTCATTGAGATATATATCTCCATTACATATGCATGGATTATAAAAATTGCAAATCATGTTATGAATTCTGTCGTATTGTTTGGCAACATTAGAAAAGCTTTCACTGCTCAACATTGCTTTTGTGAGACACTTATGTAAAGTGAATGATCACTGGCACGTTATAGATATGACTCAAGTCTTGCACTGTGTGGTTTCATGTCACTGTAATGTTCTGTCATATTACAGACCTATGTGGCTTCTGTGATGTTTTAAAGCAGTGCGTAAGCTTTCCCGCCTGCAAACAGTACTGGGACATATGCAAGTGTGAAGGTATTTAAGGCTTTAAATTTCATATTACGCAAATACAAGGTAGCTTCACATAGCATGTTGTATTCATAAATAAAGCTGCTTCATGTTCAAAGCCTACATTGACATGTTCGCATGAATCATTTCTTGCCCCATATCTTTTTTGTTTAACTTCATTTGCAATAGTAACAATGACTATAAAATATTAATAAATGAGGTAAATGGCAAAAATATGTTTCACTACGACACTTCGGATATATGTATATTTAAGGATGTCTCGAAAATATGGAGTGTGTAATGAAGTAACTGTTTGAACTTTTCCAAGCTATACCCTCGGACATCCAATGTGGCGTTGCTGAATCTCCTCCCATACCTAGGATATCCACCTACATCGTTGGCGGACGGGACGTTGGCGAGTGCGAGTTGCCATGGACCGTCGCGCTGTTCATCAAGGGTTCCTTGCGTTGTGGAGGCGCCATCATCGACGACAGACACATCATCAGTGCAGCTCACTGCCTCATGTTAGTATAGCTTCCTTGGCTTTTATTTTCTCGAATGAGTGGGTGAATGAGTGATTAAATATGCTTTCAGGGCAGAAGTATGACGTCAGTGGATACCTTAACTGGGCGTCACAACTGTGCCCATTTGAGTAATCGATCCAACAATGCCTTAACCACCAGGCTACCTCACTGTCCACATTTTTATGCCAAATATTTAAAGAATGCTATTTTCAGTTATATTTGAACCAACAAATACCATTTAGACTATGAGATAATCTGATATGACAGCTTGATATTTAAACAGACTGTAACACGCTTGGTGAGTGATGTGATTCAACGCCACGAGTAAAAGTATCTTAGTTATAAACATGTACATTGTAACAGTGTGTCAGAAATGTACAAACCATTTAGCAAATCGCTGATACTTGTTGGTATGATTTATGAAGAAATGTGAATGTGCTTCGCGCACAACTTCATATCACATTCAAGTGTTGGTATCCAAGAATGGAATTATATATGATAGATATTAATTATATAGTGTACAGAGAAAACATATACATGTTTTATTTTCACATAGGGGAATAAGGAATGCCAAAGATGTAACTGTGGGGCTCGGATCCTCAGACAGACGCCGAACACGAAATGCAACAGTATCAGCCTTCAGCATGCATCCAGAGCATTGGTCAGGTGTGTGAGAAATATTCTCCCATGTACATGTATCAATATTTTATTCCACTTGTTGAGTTGACTAAAAGCTTTACATTTACGTCAACACTGCAGGGACATTACTGAATCTTGACAGAGAAACGACCAGCGCATGGTATTTTGCTGCAAAGTGAGGAGCCACATTTCCTCCATGCCATGCTCAATTTCGTAATTTTCTCTTAAAAATATCGGTGGCTGGGGACTACTTTGCTCTAATACTTTCACTGTTAGTCCCTGTTACTGAATACCTCCCGTTCCAGGTCGAATAGGATAAAGTATATATGTAAAAGTATATCTTCTGAAAATAGACTTAGCCAATCACAATTCTTAGTGTTGTAAAAGCCCTCTGAATGTCACCAGTGAGTTATCAACCATCAAGCATGGCTTCATTATAAAAACAAATATCCATCTATAACTTTATGTTAGAATAAGAAGCCGTCTCTTTGAACTTTGAACGTTAAATATCGTAATCTGTATTAATGACAAATATAGGCATATCCTTTTTATTGAACCAATATATAAAATCTTCATGTGAACAATCAATATGTTTTTTTTCAGATGTCAACGATATTGTACTTTTAAGACTAAAAGAACCCATCAAGTTTAGCAAATGCATACGTCCGATTTGCCTTCCACCTCAAGACCATCAGTATAAACCCATGCAGAAATGCATTGTTGCTGGATGGGGACTTACATCAGGTGAGTGTCATTCCAAGCGAGAATTGTCCCTTTATGTAAAGCAGTATACTAACAGATCCAACTTAAGACGTCTACAATTATAAATTGCTTAGATACTTTAGAGCGTGTACAAAGTTATTCAAAGTTCACGGAACACTCATTCCTTGTTAATATTTGTGAAAGATTTGTCAAGGATAAAGGTCTGTATAAAAATCCAACCGACAAACATCAAGTCTTTGAATGGCATTTAGAACATACTGCCCACTTAGGAATTGACTACAGACAGCTTGTTTTCATTTATCGTTCATAAGACATACAATCATTTTCACTTAAAGGATAAATTAAAAAAATATTTTGCACCCCAATCCCTTTTTGTTGTCAAACCTAAGGCATTAACTTATTTTTGTAACAAAGGCACTTACTTGAACAATGTTTAAGTGATCATATTGCGGCGTGTCAGCTTGATGTTGGGAACTTTAAACTATACACTCCAAACTATCAAGCTGTGAATGTTCCAATACGTGTGTTTATTGCCTTGTGTTGCCACCACGAGAAGTGTTCTAAATGCTAAGAGTAACGGTTATAACATGTGGCTTGATGTTGCAGAGACGAGGCTGTTCCAGCCGTTCCAGCTACAGAAGGTGAAAGTACCGCTGGTGGAGTGGGAGACGTGCCAGACGGCGTACAACATGGTGGACACACAACTCTGCGCCGGTTACTTCGACAAAGGAGGAAAAGATTCCTGTAATGTACGTTGTTTATGTTGTCAGATGCAGAAATGCATGACATCTATATCATCACACTGTCAGGAGAGGTTATTGTCAGACTACATTGCAGACAAAAATAATAAGAAAATGATAAAAGATAATTGCGATAACAGTGTTGTTTATTCTGTCTTATTTGTGCACAGCGGAAGGGTGATGTGTGGGTATTAACTAATAAAATAGAATAAGCTTTCAAACGTACACATTATACTACTACTACTACTACTACTACTACTACTACTACTACTACCACTACTACTACTACTACTACTACTACTACCACTACTACTACTACTACTACTTATACTACTACTACTACCACTACTACTACTACTACTACTACTACTACTACTTATACTACTACTATTACGACGTCTACTATTACGACTACTACTATTACGACTACTACGCCTACTCCTTCTGCTGTTACTACTACTGCTAATGTCTCTACCACTGGTACTACTGCTGCTGCTGCTGCTGGTGGTTGTTCTACTACTGGTCATATTGCTACTACTACTGCTACTACTGCTATTACTACCACATTGCAATTTTGTCAAACCGATTCACTAAGAAATACTTTTTTTTTTCAGACTGATTCCGGCGGTCCTCTGATTTGCGACTACAACAACAAATGGACTCTGATTGGAGTTGTGTCTAGTGGTGTTGGTTGTGCTCGGCCCATGTTTCCTGGAAAATATACAAGAGTGTCCAAATATATCGCTTGGATTGACTATGTAACGTCAGCGAGGAAGCCTTATCACTACTAACGGACACGAGATGAGCAACAGAATAAACACTTGCAATACCGTCTTCTTGGAATGCTTTTCTTCCATGTAGTTTTTGTATAAGTAGGAGGAGAAGGATGTGGGTGTAGGTGTGGGTGTAGGTTATGGGTGTGGGTGTGGGTGTGGGTGTGGGTGTGGGTGTGGGTGTGGGGATGTGAGGATGGGGATGGGGATGTGGTTGTGGGGATGTGGGTGTGGGTGTGGGTATGGGTGTGGGGATGTGAGGATGGGGATGGGGATGTGGTTGTGGGTGTGGTTGTGGGGATGTGGGTGTGGGTGTGGGTGTGGGTATGGGTGTGGGAATGGGGAGGTGGTTGTGGGTGTGGGGATGAGGATGGGGTGGGTGTGATTGTGGGAATGTAGGGATGGGGATGGGGATGGGGATGGGAACGTCTGTAGGCTATGTGATGAAGAATGCTGGATGGTTGGAAGAAAAGAAATCAATACATACAATGATACTGACATAACTATAAAGTGAGGGTCAAAAGATGTCTTCCGAGTTTGTTTTTCATGTATTTGAAAATGGAATGAATTGGTGTTAAATTTGATTATGTCTATTTATCCTTCATTCATTCCTGCAACAGTGTATAAAAAGTAATCTGTGGCTGGGTAAGTTTGTGTGAAAATAAACTGGTTCAACGAAGACTGGAGTGAGAAATAAATTTGCCCATTAAGATACCCATAAGCAGTTGTGTATTATGCGAAATGCGAAATTCTTTAATGTTTAAAAGTCTTCAAACTAAATTTATGTTTTAAAAAACAAACCATGTAGAAGTATTCTTTGAGTGCTGACAGTTCAATTTTAACAGAAATTAAGAGGAGAATAAGTGCTGTAACGAGGTAACTGTCATAAGGATGTGGAATTAAGTAATATTCACTCAAAATTTCCCCCTGCAACCTGATATTCATATACTGAAAGGTGTGAATGGTGGGAGTAGAGCTTGTTTGAATTTCAAGTCGTGTCAGCTATAGGTTGCAGACCTAAGTTCTACATTGAATAGCTTTGCTATTTGAGAAGGAAAAATATTGATATTTAGGGATGTGATAACTTATTTGTGCTGACCTGGCATAAATAACAGAAGAAGCAGGATAATTAGAATCACACCATTGTCATACATATCCAACTGTTTGCTCATCATGCACATCGTGTGACTAATGTATGTGTATTTGTATAGGAACACTAGCCAAGCATATAACAATACCCTCCAGGTCACGATCATGGATAGTGAAGTATATAAACTATGGTAAGCTTGAAAAAACAACTATTTATTAGTCGCAGGTGTACTTATTTTACATATTAAATTTATGAAAGCTAATGAAAGAAAATGCTGAACAAGAGACAAAGGTTTTTCAATAATAATACATTGAATGTAAAACTCGCAGCTCGTCACATGGAGTAAAAGTAAAATTTGCCGTAAATGTAATAACTTCTTTATAAAATACGTTGGCATTCTCAACAGACTATTCAGTTAATGACAATAATCATTACAGGTTTTAACGGTATGTTATCGTCATTAGAAAAGGTACACCAAGTACCGAGAAGGTTTTGCACTCATAAAATGTATTTAGGATGATTATGTATGTCCACATAACCACCACAATAGAAACACAATTCAACACACACATAGACACATACATACATACTTAGATGCACATACCCAAAGCTACATAGCTACACATAGCTACACACGCACATTTATAGATACATACACACACAACCCAACACACACACACACATAAATTTATATAGACACACACACAGACAGACGACACATTCATAAACACATTCCATTTTATTTTTTTTACCTTTTCATGCTCTATTGCCTTGCCTTTGCAGGTGTTTGTGACAGGTTTCGGGGGTTTGTTTGTTTGTTTGTTAGTTTGTTGTTTAACGCCGCCCTCAGCAATATTACAGCAATATAAATAAATGTAAATAATCGAGTCTGGACCAGACAATCCAGTGATTGACATCATGAGTATCGATCCACGCAATTGGAATACGAGGACATGCATCAACCAAGTCAGCGAGTCTGACCACCCGATCTCGTTAGTTGCCTCTTACGACAAGCATAGTCAGCTTTTACCTATTCTAACCCGGATCTTCAAGGGTCGGTTTCCCAGGTGGGGCAGGATAGACTCACCTTTTCACAAACACCTGTAATCTGCCCTAATTGTTTACACGCCACCGCCGAATGGCAGGAGCACTGACGTAAGGCATCAGGCAACAAATACTTAGTATACTTATATGCACATTGCGTGAGTGGCGGGTGCTACCGGCAGGTCATGGTTAACGTTTTCGCAAACACCTGGTGTCATCACTTGTTTTCAGCGATCCATTCATATCATTTTCACTGTTTTGCCCTTTGCGCCCTATGGTATTTGTAGCGGCAGATAATCGAGACTGGTTGTTCTCTGGCGTTGACGTGTTAAAGGTATTGTGACAGCTACCAACGGTGGATACTCTCGCCTTTTCGCGAACACTTGGTGTCATCACAACTTAATAGTGATTTATAAACACATGATCATGATAGTCGGACTCGTACAATGTACTCTGCTTTTAGTAGAGATTTATTACCATTATGAATATGATTTTTATCGCTTTTACTTATAGTCATAACTCTGACTCCGTAGAGGTGACTTGTAATTCTGATAAGTCCTTCGTGGTGTAGGTACACACATAGGGAGAAATACCTTAGCTCGGGACATGCTCAAAGTAAAAGTGTTTTCTGGAACGGATGAAATAAAAAAGAAAACTCTGAGTAGGCAGGATGGTAAGGTGAGGTGAAATGGGGTTCAACGTCGCATCCTAGATATTGCACGTATAAAGCGATTGGTTCCCAGTAACCCGCGCTTGTCGTAAGAGGCTACTAACGGGATCAGATGGACAGACTCGGTGATTGGGTTCATGCATGTCATCGTATCCAAATTTGGGAGATCGATGTTCATGATGTCAATCACTGGACTGTCTGGTCCAGACTCGATCAGTTACAGATGGTCGTCAAATAGCTGGAATATTACTGCGTACTGCGTTAAATAACAAAAAAAAGAAATTCAGAAGCGAATAAGATGTCAAAGGACACTAAATCCGCATTATATCATCTTGACCTAATACACAGACGCTAGAGCAACTAAAATATACATGTTAATGTATATTGAAATAAAAGCGTCAAAAAGGAATGTCCCCTACTGTGTTAAACGCTTTAATGCTGGATTTTGTGATATGATCACGTTTGTGAAATTCAGCTATATTTTCATTATAACCTGAATTTCACTACTGTCCAGTCACAGTGATAAACATCCTTTCCTCTGAAGTCGCTTCAACATTGAAATATTTCGATAGTGACATCATACTTTGATGACCACAAAACAGCCAAACATCCTGTTGTTTATCGAGCACACACCTGTTTGACCTTGATGTAGTGTACCTATTGTAGTAACACTTTTGTCCTTGTTCATCTCAACGTCTTTGAATACAAAATGTTGTCACACAAAGTCTCAAATAATCGTTGTTCAATGGTCCATACTATCATCGTTATTTTAAAAGTTGTTTATAATACAAGCTTTATTTATTTCTGAATAAAACCGTTTGCTAAGTTAGCTGTCTTCATTTGAAGTAAAGTCATGGGTTGGTGTGAGGGAATTCGCGTCTGGAGTCTCTGGTGGCGAGTTTTTGTGTTTACTCTCTGCTTGTTGACATTTGTGTGTAGGAGCCACGGTCAAACACGTAAGTTGTTGACGAATGTTGTGCAGGCAGGATTGACTATTTTACTTAAGATTAATTGTGTCAGATAAATTTATACAATTATTTACCTTTGAATAGTAACACACTACCTTGTGACATGCATGTTACTGATGTTTGAATTAATATGAAGACACAGTAATTGTATGCTATTCAAAAGAAAGGATCATCCGATTATTTCATAATACTATACATGTATACATGGTATAATAGATTAACTGTACATGTAGTTATGTTGAAATATCGGGTGGTCCTTAACTTCTTTGAGAAGTATAATCGTATTACTTATTCGTATGGTTAAGTACTGGTAAACATATGACAATGAATCAAAAGTGTGACTCAGTTGATAATAATACGGATGGTGAATACCGAAGAAACAGGTGTCAGCAATCTCACTTCACATAAGAAAAATATAGTATTTTTGGCTTAGTCTTAAAACGGCTCAAGTAATTATACATAGAGCTCAAAACATTTCTTCTTTGGAACTGAATATGACAGTGTTTAGCCTGGTTAGGTCATTCCAGATATCTTATAGTGGACATTCAGAGGAATTTACTAGAAAGGTCACACCGCTTGTCAACATGATGGGCAATGATTTCTCATATTTTGTGACCTGTAATGGAGTTTTCACATCTCTTTATTTGCTGGAACTTTTTGATTATGTGAGTGGCGGGTGTTTCGGCTAGAGCAGAACATGCATACCCTCTTCGCTAACACCTGGTGTCATCATTGTGATTCACTATAATAAAATGTCATAATAAAAAAAATTCCTTTTGCGCCCAATATTCTAGATGTCAGTGTTCTTAATTCACGCTATACTAAACATTTTCATAAAAAATATAAAAATTTTGTTTAAAGGGGGTTTAGGCTCGATAAATTTGCAATCCCATCAATTTTTCCTTTAACAACACTGCAATGATCTGCTCGTTCAAATTGTATAGTGATTTATTATTATTCATAATGTTTAGAGCTTTCCATAAATGAGCTGTGGCGCTAAGGGCCCCTTGTATGAGATATATTATTGATTCGTTGACACAAATACACTGACGTCTTTGCAATATTCGTTATATTGGGAAGTTCCATCCCTGATATGTGTATTTCATGACATAGGCAGATGTGGAGAGCACTGTCCGTACTTCCGCCAATGTTACCCCACATCCCAGGTGTGCCAGCTACTCTACAGATACTGTCAATGTGGGCGCCCACCTTCCGGTAAAACAGCCTCATGCACGTTCACATTTACATAAACAATAGAACTATCACGTAAACTTGTACTGCTTATGCCATGTATACTAGCTACATCTACCTGTTTATTGTGATTTCTGATGCATGATAATGAGCTATCAAGTTTATATGATCCAGACGAAGTTAAAGACATGTGTTTTACTTTACGTTTTGATAAAAAAAAGAAATACGACGTGACATCATGCTGAAGTATTGACTTCCTCTTCCTTTAATGACATTGTATTTTATAAGTCATTTGATCTATTACATAAGTACGACCTCCTCCAAGGACAACCACGACTACCGTTCCCTTGTTAACTGTGAAAGGTAACATGGCATTTATCATAGTATAAAAGATACCTGTACAATTAAATATTTTTGCAAATAAACCATAACACGTATGCATCTGGTACTCATAATTGTATGTAAAAGGGGATCAGCGTTAGCAAATGTTCACTTGTACTAGGCGTAGATAAATTTTTCAAGATAAAGTCAGGACACTGAAACCTCGTTTATCCGGACGGTCCTCTTCCCAGTAAAATGGTAAGGATTAAAACATTTCCGGATTAACGAATCAGTGGTTCAGAGTAATATTCTTCGTACTTATGTTGTCGTTACAAACAGTAACGCACTGAATTCGGGGTTTCCTGGTTCAGCGAGGTTTCGGGAAACTTTAATGTTGATGCATATAAAACAATTTTTGTCGTACAGTTATTATTTTATATGTCCATTGTATGCACAAAAAAACAACATGAAGCATTTGTGTGTGTGTTAGCACTAAAAACCTTTTGATTACTTATTTATTTGGCCTGTCCCCATGAAAACTTTGTACGTATTTGTGTTTTTTCATATACTTAACTCAGATCTTTGTATGACATACTTCCTTAACAAGGACATTCATTTCTAGACTGTGGTGTGAGCTCCATAACCGGCCCGGCCCAGATGTACGTGGCATCTAGCCGTATTGTGGGAGGGGATGCGTCTGCAGAGTGTCAGTTTCCCTGGATGGCTGTAGTGGCAACCAGAAGCAGCCTGTGCGGTGGCAGCATCATCGACGACAGACACGTCCTCACTGCTGCTCACTGTGTCGTGTACGTTGTGTGTATGGTTAGTGAGTGAGGTTTTACGCCGCATCAGCAATATTCCAGCAATATAACGGCGGAAGAGTTCTGACAATATATTCATTTGGGGATTTGAACCCAGGCCTGTTGACGTGACGAGCAAACGCTATAAGACAAGGTCTTATGAAGAAGTAAGCTACAGATATGCATATTGTTGCAACACGCAGTTGTGCTGTTCTAAGTTGAAGATAAAAGTGCGATAAACGTAATATTGAAATGTGTTTTAGAATTTACATTAACTTTATGTGTGTTCAAGTCCAAACCTGTATGGAATGAGGGTCTAAATGTACGATGTGTCTAAGTGATAATGACCGCCTCTGTGGTCTAGTGGTAGAGCGTCCGCCAGGAGAGCGAAAGGTCCGGGATTCGAACACCGGCCACGTCATACCAAAAGACGTCAAAAAATGTTACATGTTGTTACCCTGCCTGGCGCTCGGCATTAAGGGGCTAAAACAAGGACTGGTCGGCTCGGATTCAATATACTGTGTCTGAGTAGGGTATTCATGTTAAACTGCGGCATGGTATCTCAGTGAGTTAGCACTATAAATCGGCATCAGGGCGGACTAGTACAAGCAGCCACACACACACGTACATTCACGCCGCTATATAAGTGCAATAATCTGGGACGCGACGTAAAACCCCATGTCACCTCACCTCACCAATGATAATAGACAAATGTTATAGTTTTGTGTTTACTCATCCCCAGCGGTTACCTCAAGAATTAATCCGCAGTGTTTACGCCACATCTGGAACACAGTCTCGTGAAAATCGTATCAACGCTAAAAGATGTCGTTCATACTCCTCTGCACGTCAGTTTCGCGGTGGTGTGAGAACGCCTTACTCCATGTTAAAATATTATTTAAAACATCATTCAACGAGTACAAACATCAACGAATGTCATGTTTCTGTGTATTTCAGAAGACGAAATGTTGTGGTAAACCCAAGACGGTTGACTATAGGAGTTGGGTCTTCGAGTCGGAACAGAGCAAGACGATTTCGTGTCTCTCAAGTCACGGTCCATCCTCAGTACCGAAGCAGTAGTTTCTGTAAGTAATGAGATTCAGCTTCATCAGCCGGCCAAATACAGAGCTTAGATAATGCTTGAAAAAGTAGTGTTCCAGCATTATCACGATGGGTTTCAAACCCACGTCTTTTGTTTGACGAGCCACGGTGCATCTTCGGTAATGAAGCAGTCGTTCCTGTAAATATAAGTGACACAACTCTTTCCATGATCATAAGAAAATTAATATATATTGTATAATACTGACCAAACATAAGCACATGTCTGTGGTCCACTTGCAAAAAGTGGTGGTGTCCCTCATCGGTGACACTCGTCACAAAAATATGCAAATGCCAGGGAAGTATTTACCTAAACAAACACAAATCACAAAAAGAATTGCATCTAACATCATTTTGGTCATTGATGGTCACGATTGGAAATGATCTACAATAAAACTTTTTGAACGCCATACTAAGGAATTGAATTCTGTAACCCTGATCAAATTTAAACAACTTAACGCATTATACTCATGTGGGGAATAGACGAATGAATATATATATATATATATATATATATATATATATATATATATATATATATATGACTGAGGGGGTTTGATTACTGCAGATTTGAACAGTGTATAAACAGCGTGTTTGGTTGACATTGACAGACAGAAAACTATTTTCGAGACGAACGCAAGGTCAGTGGTACCTAGCCTGGCTAGTGATGCAACAATGCATAGAAATGTACGTCGCCTTGACGAACTGGTTGAAATTGGCACCCATAAAGTAATTCCTGTGTATTTCAGCTAACGACCTTGCCGTCATCACGTTGACAAGGAGGTTGCAATGGTCACAGTGTGTTCGCCCCGTCTGTCTCCCTGACCAACTCGACACTGCTCTTGTTGGGCAAATATGTGTTGCTGCCGGATGGGGACTAACAAATGGTAATAATATATGTACAAATATGACAATACATTAGTTATTGCTTATCGCTTTACGCTTTAAACAGTACCTCAAAACTAACTATGTATCACAATCAAACCGCGAACCATCCGGCATCCAAATGCGAGTCGATCGCGATCCGACCGCGAATCGAACGCGAACCGTACCGATCCGATCGCAGCTACATGTACATGACATTGTATATCACAGCCAAAATCTTTCGATCGCCATCGGATAACGATCGAGGTAACGTTAGTTTTTAAGTGTAACGTTGTATGAGAATCGCTTTGATCTTCCTAATATCAAAATGTTTGATATTATCTCTATTAATTTCAGAGAAAAACTCACGGGCCGAGAATAATCTCCGGAGCGTCAAAGTGCCAATAGTGAGCAGTGCTACATGCAGAAGGATATATGGATCCCGGAACTTTGACACAAACAACATCTGTGCTGGTGACGTTAGAGCCGGAGGCATTGACTCTTGTCGGGTACTTAATATCTATTAATGTGAAATAATGAATATGAAATCCCGATACATGTATCAAATAGTGTATTTCAAAAGGCAAGTGAGTGAGTTTGGTTTAACGTCGCTTTAACAGTATTTCTCTTATATCACGACCAGTCAGCTTGATGCTGGAGTGAAGCCCGAAGTGATGCATGTTTCGTTGGTGGGGTTGAACCCATGTGTCAGTTGGTACCGATAAACCTAGACACATAATCATGTCGAATCTGGGATTCGAACCAACAATATTATAATTGCAAATTGTGGTGCCTTATGCGACTGGACAGTCTGTGGTACCACTGCAAAAGAAGGAACCGTGTGGTGAAGATGGCACACAATCTTTCCACTTTGTGATGTGTGTTCTCAGCTAAAATACCCATTATGCTCCATTTGGAGGATGGGGAAACTGTCTTCGTATGCTGAAAACAGTGTACGATAACGATGCGCCAATAGTTGTTACATCCTATTTTACATTTTGCTTTTGTTTCATTATCTAGGGAGACTCCGGAGGCCCTTTGATGTGTAGTTCCGGCACCCAGTGGAAAGTGATGGGCATCGTTTCTTTCGGAAGAGGGTGTGGACGGCGAAGGGCACCGGGGGTCTACGCCTTCGTTCCTCCCTACGTCTCATGGATAAATAGCGTCAGGTCATGATTGGCAGCAGTGACATCAATCATCGTTAACGTTATGAACAAAACCATTTTCAACACTTTACAGGTTAGGTTGACATCCTGTCATGTGAAACGCAATGACGTCAGATGTAGAAATAAAATGGCATAATTGTATTCCTGGCTTGTAAATAAGCACTAGTCCATATATCACCATGCATTGCAAATATCATGGCACTGGTCCATTGTTTGTTAATTAAAGGAAAATGACACTGGACCATAACTCATTAATCAATGCAAGTGTAATGACACTGGTTCATTGTTCTTTAAACGTAGAAAATGTAATGGCATCGGTCTATAGCTCATTTATCATTGCAAATGTAATAGCACTGGTCTATAGTTTATTAAGCATTGCAAATGTAATAGCACTGGTCCATAGTTCATTAAGCATAGAAAATGTAATGGCACTGGCTCACAGTTCATTGGGCAAAGCAAATGTAATCACACTGTCCATATATTGATAAGCGCACCAAATGCCATGACTTTGGTCCATAGGTCATTACGCATAGAAAATACAATGGCTCTGAATGATTGACTATTGAGTAGGGAACACAACTCATTGTTATCCCTTAAAACGATATCATAGTTTGTCTGTTTTTATAAAATACATGAACATCATTAGACTTATAATATTTTCGAATAAAAGCTCTGATAAACAACTAATTTGTTTATGTTTTACTGAATGTTGTAACATCATCATATCAATAAAAAATAAATTCAGCTAAATCACAGAAGCCTGTGAATAATCGAGACCAATCAGCGGCGGATAGTACGCACAACGACCCCCGCAATCTGGGAACGCTGACACACAGACAGCTGACAATTGTCATCACCGGATTTTCAGTTTTTATCTACACATACACGAAAGACTGGCACGAGGGTGGGGTTGGGGGGTTGGGGGGTTGGGGGACTCGAGTTGCCAAGTCGTCTAAGGCGCCGCAAGTTCGCTGTGGAGAGTTGCTGCCCTTTGGAGTACCAAAAACTAATGATCGTTGGTTCTTATCCCGGTTCGCCCTGAGTATGTTTTTCAGCATCATGCCTGAGTTCGTGAGTTTCACCAAATGGTAAATGTCTAATACCTAGATCACTTCTGGCTTCTCCCCTAACACCAAGCTGACACGCTGTGATATAACAGCAATACCGTTAAAAGCGGCGCTAATAATTTTTTAATTCCATTTTATATTTGTTCATTTAAATAACTGCAAGCTGAAAACACAGGTTATGCTTATAAAGCTACTCCCAAGGGTAGCAACTCTCCACAGCGAACTTGCAGCGCCTTAGACGACTTGGCAACCCGTGCTCCCCAACCCAACCCACCGTTCAAAGCGGCGCTAAAAATGTTTAAATTCCATTTTATACTTGCTCATTCAAATAACTGGAAGCTGAAGACACAGGTTATGCTTATAAAGGTGCAGATGAGGATGTAAAACTTCGCCAGCCGAAGAAAGGATAACGAAAGTAGGCTGTACGGTTGTACCCTGTTCCATGCCGACATGAATGACTTGTTGGAACCACATGTTCAACGACAATTAATCTTATACTAGTAAAATTCCTGAAATACACAACATAAGGCCACGTTTACCTTAACCTTCTACGTACTGCATGAAGAGACATATATCAAGGTTTAGGGTTGAAACAGAGCATTGCGATATTTGCTTTGCGATATTTACTTTGAAGTGAATTTGCAGCATGTACATGCACACTTTTAACGTCAACGCACTGAAGCTTGCATGCTTGTCACACCCTGCACACCTCACAGGAGATTTGTTATTTTACACCTTCATGTCGCAATTTGAACCTTATTTTCACAAATTTGTATTTGAAAGGCCTGGGGTAATCCAGTTTAAGCACCATCTTCTTTAGGTTGCCCGCCTAATCACGGCGTTAGTGTGAGTTTGTAATTCACAACGATGTGTAAATCAAAATGTAAAATGACGAGAATGTTGTTGTAAATCCAGTACGTTAAGTAGGTATATTAAAGAAACATCCTTTGAACAAAGCACAGTGCTTTTAACAGTCCCTCCCTCACAATACCGTTCTTCAGGACGCCTTTAGTTCAAATATTTGAACATAAAAGTCATCAGTTAAAGGTACCATATAAAGGAGGTTAGGTACACAATTAACCTATGCTCAAGATCAGCATGGTTTCACTTAAGCTGTTAACGTTAGGACTAGTGCTTATTTCTGAGGCGGTCTCCCAATTTTTCATTCCCAGTTTCGGTAGGTTGCAATTGTTTATTTTTCTTAAAAACGTGATATTTGTGATTATTGTTCCAGCGTCTTGGAAGCCTCTGGCCAAACATTCAAAGTGTCAAAGCAATTATTGACATAAGGAGATGACAAAATTTTGAATCAGAATGAAATGCAATGATTTGATAGATTGAACCATACATTGTGCGTTATTCAAGCTTAATTTGGTGATACGGGATACGCAAGATGTCTTTTCATGGGTTGGATCGAATCCTGTTCAGGTTAGGGAATACAGTATACTTTAGTTGGGAACATCTCGGGGCGCCAGCATAACTCTTTTGCATTAACACTTTGGGGAAACCTACGGGCACGAATTTGGTTCAGACAAATCAAGAATCATAATCAGGAGAATATGAGATTCCAACCTTCGAATATAGGATCCACTTTACATTGGTTGCATTATGGCCAGGGTAGTGTGGACCTCCTTTTGTAAAATCCTGGATCCGCCCCTGTTTCTGTTCGACTTTTTATCATCAACGTATTAATGCTCACAGGTGCGGTAACCTGCGGATGGCAGTATGGTGGACGGTGCAAGAGAATCTGTGATAGTGAAGAGTACATCTTAGGCCGGCAGCCATGTGGTTTCGGTGTCGGGGTCTGCTGTGCGCCTACTCTACGTAAGGTCTTTTTTCTGTGCAGTTTCATTTTTAAACCATCGGTCCTTGCGAGGTTTTCTAGATGAGAACATATTCCACTTTTTTGAGTTACATATAAGAAATGATTGAGGTGATATAAACATTGGATTAACGAGGACAATATTAAAACTCGTGTATTGTATGTCAATAGTAATATCAAAGATTCGTTTTATGCCTTTATCTGATTCGTAATTAGGTGATTCTGGTAAATGAGACTCACAAAAGAATGTATACCGAAAGAAAGTATAGTCATTTATGTAATTGAAAATAGAAAGACCGGTTGTTAAATTTGATTATGTCTATTTAATCATCACTCATAACTGCAACAGTTTGTTTAACGTTATCTGTGGCTGGGTAAGTTTGTGCAAAAATGAATTATTTCATTGAAGACTGGGTTGCAACCAAAAGACCTCTTTATTGATTTTCCAAAAGATGTCTAAGATACCCATCAAAACTTGTGTATTTTTATGATACAATATCGCTTACTTTTAATCAGATATTTTCAATAGACACTCACACATATGATAAAAACAAATGAGAGGTATAGTTTCTTTTGTTGCCTTCTCTGACCAGAGTCGTCTCAACATTTTATACCACCAAACTTTTCACTCTAACTACATGTGAGGGAATATATACGGTTTCGTTAATCTAATACTACCACGTCACAATATGGCTGAAATATTGCCGATGTGACGTTAGATTTTAACACTCACTCAATACTACCAATACGGTGGAAAGCAGGAATGAGCTTAAAACACTGTACTCACGTAGAAATCGAATCCAACCCCCAGGAAACAACTTTGTGAAGTGTCGTTTTTGTATGTTATAGTATATGTATGTGGTTTACAAAAACATGACAAAGATGTTTCTTCTTGTAGCGTGCTTATCATATGGCGGAGTGTGTCGCCAACGCGGGTGTTTCAGCACCTTTGAGGTGCCACTTCAGTTCAACGTTAGATGCCCATTCGGAGAAAGAGGAACATGTTGTGTGAGACGGTCGAACAGACCCGTAACGCAGACAACAACGATGACAACTACGACGACACTCGTGCCACGGGGTACGTTGTTAGTTACTAATAATCCACAACACGTCCTCTACGAGGGCTAGTCAAAAGGTTCTGAGCCTAACAAATAACACCAAAAATTGTGAAAGTCAACATAATCTCCCTGCTTTTCAATTCACTTCTCATATCGATAGTGAAGCTTTTAAATTCCAGTCAGAAGTTTTCTGAAGCCACCCTGAAATACCCATTCACGGCAGTTTAGCGGTCATCGTTGTCGTCATAGCGCTTTCCACGAAGATGTTCTTTCAGTTTAGGAAACAGGTGGAGCCAGGTCTGGCGAGTATGGAGGGTGAGGAAGCTCTTCTAACTAACAATGTCGCACAGCAGCCTATGCAAGTCGATAGGTGTGAGAAGAGGCATTGTCATGAAGGGGTAGAACTCCAGCACTCAGCATTCCTTGTCGTTTTTCTTTGATAGAATCTCTCAGGCGATGAAGCAAATCAGCATAGTAGGCACCGATAACTGTCTTTTGACTTTCTAAGTAATCAACAAGGATAACTTACTTCACTGATCTTGAAGACTTGGATGTCTTTGATGCCGGAGAAGTGGAATGGTGCCGTTCCGTGGATTGATGTTTTGACTCGGGATCATAGTGGTAGACCCCATGTTCATCACCCGCTACTAATCTCTTTTTGAATTTGATAAAATCCTCTTCAATTATCTCTACATTTTCTGTGGCAATGTCAGTTGTTGACAGTTCCTTTTTCTTGAAGATCAAATTAAGAACATTTGGCACCCAACGAGCAGATATCTTCATCTGTAAATGTTCATGATATAATAGTTTCAATGGATCCATGGCTGAGACCTGTGTCTTCCTCAAGTTCAGCAATAGCAATACGTGAATCTGACAGTATAAGTTTTTCTATCTCCTTGATTGAATCTTCATTAATGGAAGTTGAGGGAACATTGGAATAGCTAGGTCACTTATCCCCATACACTTGTGACATGCGGTCATGAATTTCTTAGGAATACTTTTCTCCAAAGTAAATAAACTTGGTACTAGTTCGTTTCCATTTCTGTGTCCATTTGGACCCCTATCACGTTCAACTGTCTGTCACTAATATACAAACGGCCTCAGCAGACCAAATACTCTTGCAATGAACTACTCAAACAATGTACTACATTGACTATTCGCCCATAATTGTGGGCTTTGGTATGGCCCATAGTTGAAAGTTAGCCAGGCTTAGAACGTTTTGACAAGCCCTCGTTCTCCTTGTTCATATTTACAAGATGTCAACAATATCAACATAATCAATTCATCGAAACATGAAGCACTGAGTAAAAGAAAGAAATCGTATGTCATTTTTAATAATTATCAAATTTCCTTAAACCTAAGAAGGATGAGGTGATGTTGTTTGTTGTTTACGATGACATACATCAACCAAGTCAGTGAACCTGACCACCCGATCCCGTTAGTCCGCTCTTGCGACAAGTATAGTCACCTTTTACGGCAAGCATGGGTTGCTGAAGACCTATTCTAACCAGGATCTTCACGGGTACTAAAAGTAAAAAAAGTTATCATAATTTCCCATCTAACTCCTATCTATCGTGTCGTATTTCAGTGAAGAAATTAATGCAATAAACAATTATACCGTCGTATGGTGTCAATGTGAATTTGACTTTGCTATCAGCAGCATTTATGTTGTGCCGCGATATTCGTATATATATATTTATTGTTATTATCGAAACTTCACATTCCTGTGTATATTCTAATAATTTTCAAGTTACAGTAATTATTTCAGATATGCTCAGCAACGTCTTCAGATGAGTTGGAGTACTAAGTAAGGATAAGGTATTAGGATGAACACATTCTTTATTACAACTTGGGGAGACGCTTCGGTGTACGTAGGTTCACTTGTTTGATAACGGTGCTAGAACATACACCGAAAAGGTGATCCTGATTTTAATAAAGATATATATCTTATCCTTACTTATGCTTAACAACGCTAACAACAATAATTGTAAAACGCTGGTCCCAGATAAAGCTCTTGATTCTTCAACTGTGAAACTGTATTCGAAATGTTTTTAACGTAAATATTTGATAGATTCATTAATATTTATTTTCATTTTATTTCATACTGTGTTTCGTTACTGTGACTTATATATGTAGATGTCTTTTCAGTGTGTGCTTCACGACCTCGATTTCATCCTGTAGCTGGTCGTATCGTGGGTGGTGTTCCTGTCAGCTCCCAGTGCCAGTGGCCGTGGATGGTCTCCATTAAGGTTGGAACAACCAGCAACATTGGCCCTCACATCTGTGCCGGAGTGCTTGTCAACCGCAACAAGGTTCTCACCACATCAAGCTGTGTGCTCGGGTAAGTTGTGACTGTAGACTCTATGCAGGGTTGAAAGTCAATCTCATTATAATCAGATCTTAGTTCTCGCTACCGCTGAACAAAGATCTGAGGACATCCCATTCCGGGTCACGTCAGACCGACCTTGCGCTTACTTTGACCGACCAATGAAATGGCTGACAGGAAGTCGACATTAGCCAATCAGAAGGCAGCTTTCTTGTGCTTTACGGCACTAATTTCAAATTGGCGACAACGCTTCGAAGCATATTTTGACAAATTTTCGATAAAATATTTGAAACCTGAACAAAATAACATTTTGAAATGGCTAATAGATGGTCTAGATTGTATGGATTCAGTCGTTAAGCCCGTAACTATCGTTCTTAATACCCCGTGTTAAAGTTTTCGAGGTTGTATGATTAGAATTTACATTCCGACTGTCACTTTCATGATCTGGTAAGCGACGTTCTGATTCGTCGAAAGAAAGGTCGTTATGACGTTACCCATAATGGGATGTCCTCAGATCTCTGTTTAGCGGTAGCGAGAACTAAGATCTGATTTTAATGAGATTGGGTTTAAAGTGTAGTTTGAATGAAACAGTTGACAGTTTTAAACAGTTTTACTTGATGAATACCAATAATTCACAAATCAGTTTGTGTTTTGCAATATTGAGGGTAACAACATATCATCAAAAGAGTCAGTTAGTTGTTGCATTTTTCGACTGCATTACCCACTCTGGTTTTCCTTTCCATCAACCATGAAGACGATTACCTTCCCGTCGTCACTGACAGTGTCTTCTGTATAACACTGGTTGTGTCAACAAAATTAACACGAACTGAAGACAAACAAACATTTTCATTTACGTTTTAAGTTCATTGTATTATAAAAGAAAACTTCTCAAACACGTTTATGTTTCTTTATATGGGAGAATATTACTGACAGATGGAGTTCGACCACGTAAACGACGTAAGACACATATATGTTATTACGGTAGTCATAGCTCTACGATCACGTTGTTGAACTTAAAGCAGATGTGATTCGTTATTCGTAATTCAACTTTGACATCACGATGTCGATTGAGATGTCTGCTTCTGTTCCAGCCGCCAGGTGGTTGTAACTGTTGGCGAGAATAACATCAACAACCTTTGGGAAAATGGCGAGCAGACCGTGGCTGTTACTGGTGTAGCCACACCAAATCCAAGCCCCACCGACCTTGGAGAGCCATTGAGGGGTAGGTACTTTACCCGATATCCAATACAGTTACACGTTATTGTCAAACTGACACCATTCGTTTATGTACCAACCCCGTCCGATTTCCGTGAAGGGAGAATTGGTTCCATGTAACCTCGTGGTAAGAGGCGTCTAAGATCGGCTGGGTTGTCAGGCAAGCTGACTCTGTTGATTGCGGGTCATCTTACGACCTGACGCTGTTCATAATGTCAACCACTGGTTTTCTTTTTCTGATTCGACTATTTACAGGCCGTTCATAAAATAGCTGGATTATAATTGTACGTCAAAAATATATCATGGTAAACTGCATTCTACGACATCCATACTGGTTTAATGGCGTAAGATTGTAATCAAATGAGCGTATCGTGAAGTTAAAGTATTCATAAATGTGCATGGAATGTAGTCAAGTGATGTCCATTATTTAAGATGTCATCAACAATTAACAGCTGACGACATAGCCATTCTGACACTGGAATCATCCATTCCGTCTGATGGAACTTCATGTGCACAACCTGTCTGTCTTCCTCGGAATGGGGAGACCGTCGACTCAAACAGCAGATGTTACATAGCAGGCTGGGGGCCAAATGCACGTGAGTACATCAATAGATTTATGAGTGAGTGAGTTGGGTTTAACGCCGCTTTTAACAGTATTCCAGTTATATCACGGAGTGTCAGCTTAACGAGGGAGGAAAGCCCGAAGTGATGCAGGTCTCAGACGTTTACCACTTCGGTGAAACCCACGAGCACGGATATGGTGCTGACAAACCTAGAAACATAATCGAACCTACAATCATAGGTTTCTGGCGTGCCGAAGGGACACAATTTTATACAGCGAATCACGGCGCCTAAGAAGACTGGGCCGCCCGTGCGCCCAATATATTTATGATCCATAGGGTTAGAGATAAGAGATCAAAATAAACAAACACGGGAAGCCATATGATTACACGGGCCTTATAGCATTTATTTGTAACACAGATATCATTGTTGACGCAATACAGACATCACTGTTTACGTAATGCAGATATCACTTTTGGTGTTAAACGTATTGACGTAATAAAGACATCATTGTTGATGTAATACAGACTCTGTTCATGTAATACAGACAGCAAATTTGAGAAATACAGACAACGTTGACGAAATACAGATATCACTGTTGACGTAATACAGACATCATTGTTGACGTAATGCAGACATCATTTCTTGACGAAATACAGATATCACTGTTGACGTAATACAGACATCATTGTTGACGTAATGCAGACAACAATGTTGATGTAATATAGACATCATTGTTGACCTAATACAGACAACAATGTTGATGTAATATATACATCAATGTTGACGTAATGCAGACAACAATATTGATGTAAAATAGACATCATTGTTGACGTAATGCAGAAATCACTGTTGACGTAATACAGACATCATTGTTGACGTAATGCAGACAACAATGTTGATGTAATATATACATCAATGTTGACGTAATGCAGACAACAATGTTGATGTAAAATAGACATCATTTCTTGACGAAATACAGAAATCACTGTTGACGTAATACAGACATCATTGTTGACGTAATGCAGACAACAATGTTGATGTAATATATACATCAATGTTGACGTAATACAGACATCATTGTTGACGTAATGCAGAAATCACTGTTGACGTAATACAGACATCGTTGTTGACGTAATGCAGACAACAATGTTGATGTAATATATACATCAATGTTGACGTAATGCAGACAACAATGTTGATGTAAAATAGACATCATTGTTGACGTAATACAGACATCATTGTTGACGTAATATAGACAACAATGTTGATGTAATATAGACATCATTTCATGACGAAATACAGAAATCACTGTTGACGTAATACAGACATCATTGTTGACGTAATGCAGACAACAATGTTGATGTAATATATACATCAATGTTGACGTAATACAGACATCATTGTTGACGTAATGCAGAAATCACTGTTGACGTAATACAGACATCGTTGTTGACGTAATGCAGACAACAATGTTGATGTAATATATACATCAATGTTGACGTAATGCAGACAACAATGTTGATGTAAAATAGACATCATTGTTGACGTAATACAGACATCATTGTTGACGTAATATAGACAACAATGTTGATGTAATATAGACATCATTTCATGACGAAATACAGATACCACTGTTGACGTAATACAGACATCATTGTTTACGTAATATAGACAACAATGTTGATGTAATATATACATCAATGTTGACGTAATGCAGACAACAATGTTGATGTAAAATAGACATCATTGTTGACGTAATACAGACATCATTGTTGACGTAATATAGACAACAATGTTGATGTAATATAGACATCATTTCTTGACGAAATACAGATATCACTGTTGACGTAATACAGACATCGTTGTTGACGTAATGCAGACAACGATGTTAATGACATATAGACATCATTGTTGACCTAATACAGACAACAATGTTGATGTAATATATACATCAATGTTGACGTAATGCAGACAACAATATTGATGTAAAATAGACATCATTGTTGACGTAATGCAGAAATCACTGTTGACGTAATACAGACATCATTGTTGACGTAATGCAGACAACAATGTTGATGTAATATATACATCAATGTTGACGTAATGCAGACAACAATGTTGATGTAAAATAGACATCATTTCTTGACGAAATACAGAAATCACTGTTGACGTAATACAGACATCATTGTTGACGTAATGCAGACAACAATGTTGATGTAATATATACATCAATGTTGACGTAATACAGACATCATTGTTGACGTAATGCAGAAATCACTGTTGACGTAATACAGACATCACTGTTTACGTAATGCAGATATCACTTTTGGTGTTAAACGTATTGACGTAATAAAGACATCATTGTTGATGTAATACAGACTCTGTTCATGTAATACAGACAGCAAATTTGAGAAATACAGACAACGTTGACGAAATACAGATATCACTGTTGACGTAATACAGACATCATTGTTGACGTAATGCAGACATCATTTCTTGACGAAATACAGATATCATTGTTGACGTAATACAGACATCGTTGTTGACGTAATGCAGACAACAATGTTGATGTAAGATAGACATCATTGTTGACGTAATACAGACAACAATGTTGATGTAATACAAACAGCAAAGTTGTAGTGAAGATATCATTGTTGAAGTATACACACAGCACTGATGACGGAATACCATTAGGCATGCCAGAATCTAATGATCGTAGGTTAGAATCCCAGATTCGTGCTGATTATAATTATTTGTTTGTCTGCACCATGCCCTGACCTGCATCACTTTAGGCTTTCATCCGACGTTTACCTGACTGAAATGCAAGTCAAAGCGGCGTTGAACCCATTTAACTCCATGCACTAACTACGTGGATGCTTATATACTGCTGAGGGGTGGTGGGGTAGCTAAGTGGTTTAAGCGTCACGCCATAGACCCGGGTTCTATTCCGAACGTGGGGGTACAATGTGTCATGCCCATTTCTAGTGTTAGTGATGCACGTTGTTGTGCGCATTATGATGCATGTTGTTGTGCACATTATGATACATGTTCTTGTGCACATTATGTTCATCTCTATCTGATAAACGAATGTTTTCCAGGCGGGGACGGTCTTCTACACGAGGCTAATGTGAGGATTATGCAAAATGCCTTATGTTCATTCATAATTGGATCAAGAACCAACCTGCCGTCGGACAAAATCTGTTCTCACCCTGTCATAGATCGGACCAACGCTTGTCAGGTAAACACAAATAGTTGCTAGTCTTAAATGCAATAATCATTCTTTTAAGTACCTGAACACAATTAATAATAACTTAATACAAAGTACTATATCAATCCGTACTCACATGCAATATATACTGAAAAAGATGGGTGTCGTGAATATTTTTGGGGATTTGTAAAGTCTGGGAACACAATTTCACAAAAGTATCCCCCGAAATAGCCATGATCGCTAACCTTTTTGTTCCGTACAGATATATAGTACTAAGCTAATTAGATAAGTGTATCAATTTTCTACATGAATATAAAAAAACCGATATTAATCCGGACAGTATTGTTCTTCCTGAAATCGTCCGTATTGACGACTTTCCATATTAACGAATCTTAGTAATAGCAATTTGATCCGTTTTTACTTATCCGCTATTAACACTGGAGGAGGATTGTATACAGTACATCTCAAAAAGGCAGCTCGCAGCTCAATCTGGAGACTTACACACTTACAGATTCTTACACACTTACAGATTCTAATAAAAATGGATGTTTCTGTTTCGCTATGTGCAGATAATACATAACACCGTGTAGATGATGATTTTAACGATTTTCAGAGAGACAACGGTGGGATGCTGGTTTGTGAAGATGGGACAGGAACGTGGAGCCTATTTGGCCTCATCAGTGATAGCAACTGCAATGCAAAGATCCCTGTTATCTACACGCAGGTCAGCAGGCACCTCGACTGGATCACCTCAAACCTCTGAATCGACCATTGCTGACTCAGGTGTTAGAAGCCTAAATATAATAACATCCCCACCTCTTTAATATGATTTTATTTTACATGAACGTTCTTTTCATATTAATGAGATAATTTAATATGAATTATGCAATGTCCATATAAATAAATAAGATTGTTAGAATTGTCCAGTAGTTCAACGGACAAGCAAGCGAGTCTGCGTTTGTGAAACATTACATAAGGGAGAGTAGTGAACGACAAGATATAACATGCTGTAATGTCGACACAATATAATCATGTTTTATGTGCATTATAATTGTGAGTAGTGTACCGCATATTTGAAACGCTGAACTGGTTAAGAGACAATTCAAGGAACACCCAGTGAAACATTGATATCTCGAAATCCTGGGGACTACATCTCCTCCTTCGAGTTAAGCGGAGACACCTTAAAGGTGTCGATACTGCTTCAACGGTGACCATGAGGTTCCGTTGTACCGAGCATCATATCGGGTTCAAGGAGTTCAAGGTATGCTTCATATACTCTGTATTGAGAACTGTACTCTTTGGAATGGATATCATACAGAGAATATCTAACGAACAGAAAGGTATTTCTAAATGTACTTACAATACCCTACTGTATTACATAACTATGTTGTACATTTTACGTATGTATGACAAGTAAACTTGCTGAAAAACAATTTTGTGTGTTGACTTTCAGTGTATAAATATATCAAGTAGTTGCATGTGAATTGTCAAAAAATTGTTCAAACTGTTTTATGGTAGACATGTGGAGGGTATTTTCCAAATCTGACGAACCAGTGACAAAAACATATGTCCAAAGCAGTTACTTATTTTCACTTGTACCATATGTTCCCGTGAATATTTGACTTGTCTTTTTTAATTAAATCAGTAAATGCGTATTATGTCACTGGATTGTCTGGTCCATCACTGGCTTGTCTGGTCAAGACACGGTTGTTCACAGGCAACCGTCGTAAGGTAGGAGTACTGCTGTGCGGCGACAGGGAACACTTACTTTTGTATGCACATTGTATTACTGGCGGTTGATTCCTGTATGCTAGGTCGTGATTACACATTTCGCGAACACCTGTATTTCAATGTTGTTTTGCTTTTTGCGCCTAATGGAATTTGTTTCGGTAGAGAGTCGAGACTGAGTGTTCTCTGACGTTAACGTTGTATTGACGTTTTATTGACCTTTTATATTAATGGCGGGGTAAACCTGTGGGGCAGGATACGATCACCTTTTCGAGAACAGATACCGGTGATTCACATGACATGCTTTTGAGACCAGTGAAGATCCGAGGTAGAATAGGTCTTTAGCAACCCATGATTGCCGTAAAAGGTGACTGTGCTTGTCGTAAGAGACGACTAACGGGGTCGGGTGGTCAGGCTCGCTGACTCGGTTGATGCTTGTCATCGTTTCCCAATTGAGTGGATCGATGCTCGTGATGTCAATCACTGGATTGTCTGGTCCAGACTCGATTATGTACAGACCGTCGTCATATAGCTGGAATATCGCTGAGTGCGGCGTTAAACAACAAACAAACGAACGTGCTTTTGGTATGGTTGGAATTGTACAACGGACTCTCTCTCTCTCTCTCTCTGTGTGTGTGTGTGTGTGTGTGTGTGTGTGTGTGTGTGTGTGTGTGTGTGACTGCTTGTCCTAGCCCGGACTAATTATAATATTACCGATTTTATAGTGCCAGCCCACTGAGATACCATGCCGCAGTTTAACATGAATACCCCACCCAGAAACAGTATACTGACTCCGAGCCGACCAGTCTTTGTTTTAGCCCCTTAATGCCGAGCGCCAGGCAGGGTAACAACGTTCGAACCATCTTTCAACGAATTTTGGTATGTCGCGATCGGAGAACCTCGACCTTCTGCTCTCCGGGCGGAAATTCAACCTCTAGACCACTGAAACAATAACCTTTTCTGTTGGGCATCTAGGAAAGTAAGTTAATGTCCTTAACAGTAAACCCATTAAAAATGATATACCCAATCCAATTGGAAAGACAGTATATCCCAATGTTTCTAAAACGTTTCCTATAAATATAGGCCAACATGTAAAAGTAACGAACACCACATGTACATTGGCATTTCTACTTTTAACAAGTTTCCATTCCAATAGAAGCATCTCGATATAGCTCCAAAGGCATTAGCTTTAAGGTGTCAATAGTATTTAATAGTGACTCATAAACACGTGGTAATGGTAGAGTCGGAATCGTACAATGAACTCTGCTTTTAGCAGAAACGTTTATGGACATTGGCTTGTTATTATCAGGTCCGTTATGGTTTCTGTGTCTAAATTATCACGCCTGTATTAACGTTCAGACGTTGGGCCACTTTGGCAGACACAGCTGAAAATGTGTTTGATTAGCGCAACGGAAAACTTAGGATACGCAGCAGCTATTGTTTCCATCATACTTATTACAACTTTTAATTACGATAGGCATTGGGTACATGAGTTCTTTAGTTCTAATCCAGATGAAGACATAGGTGATACACCGTTAACATACGAATTTCATGATCCTCAATATGTTATCCTGATAATACAATTTAGAGGATATTTAATGTAGGCTAACGAGTGAATATATCCCGTGGTTAATACTTCTTTTATTAGCATTTTTAACAATCATCGTTAAATACTCTATTTACATGTATCATATAGTTCAAGCCAGTTTTGCGTGATTTTACTTTTTCGACAACGTGCTCGAACCGCAACCCGTTCGGGACCAAACCACTTCCATCAGGGTTCACATACGAGATAAAAAGTAGTTCCAAAAACTAACGGGAAATAGTAAACAACAAATAATAACTGTCAAAATTAGTTTACTGAACGAAATAAAAGACAAACATATTCTCAATTTACGGGAATGATATATAATACGTAACAAATTACAATGTACAACATGATTGTATTGACATAAGAACCGCCATTTTTTAACAGCTGATCAGCCTCTTGTCAAAATTACACGTTGTCATCAACAGAGGCCTAAACAGACCAGAAAATTTCAGATACATCAAGTTTCTTTAACCAACGTCAAGATATCTCTTCGAGTCATGAAGTGCCAATTTGGTCATGCTAACCTAGCCATGACAGGTAGCCTCATACTTTGCCTAGTGGTGATATATCATTTTACCAATGTCGAGAGTGACGCTATCAGTTTATGGTCGCTCGGCAGATGTAATTTCGGAGGGTTCAGTGATTCACACTGCAATTATATAATAAAATGAGTTACTTATTTTTTAAATCGCTTCAAAAATGTTTTGTTTGTTTTGCTTTACATGTACAACTACGATTCTTTGAATGTTGAAACTTTGAAAGGTCTCACAAATCCCATTACGGGATTGCGTTTTAAGCCGTAATTCCTTTCAAGTGAATATTGTGTTTTCTTGGCTTTTAAGTCCCCAACCACACAAACACGTGTGGTGTTAGTTGGCGGTGTCGCAGTGATATTTCAGCTTGACGTTGTTAAGGGTGGGAAGACACGTATAAGCTGAGAGCTGTCTTTATCAAAATGCCACCTGGAGGACATGAAGAAAACAAAAACGAAAACAGAAATCCCTTGTTTACATCATTCATTTGCCCATACCAAAATACACAAGTTGTTAAGAAAAAGCTGATGGTGGCTATATAAGCAACACGTCCAGAGAGAGTTTCAAACATGCAGGCTCGTCCATAGGAAGTATAAGGGATAAAATCTTTAAGGAAATTCCATATTTACAATATACCTGGAAGACGTGTGGCATGAGGAGTGCTGCCTTTGAAGCTTTACTTCATTTTTTTACAGCCCCTTTGCACTGTTTGCGCCTAGAAATCAACTCGAGGGAAACCAAATGACACACTGAAATGGATTAGAGCATGTGCATTTTATTCACATTTTATGGAAAGACCCATTTTGGTTACAACTAAGCCAACTAAGTCACCCCAGAATCCTTTTGGTTGACATTGCTTGTCAAAATGTTTGTTGTTTGTTTAACGCCGCACTCAGCAATATTCCACCTATATGACGACGGTCTGTACATAATCGAGTTTGGATCAGACAGTCCAGTGATAGACATTATGAGCATCAAGCTTGTCAATTTGATGCGCGATGCTATCCTATATTATGGTGAAAACCACAAGCACGGCCATGGTGATTACAAATCTAGGAATATAATCAGAACGAGATTCAAACCCACGATCAAGGTTTATGGCAAGACTTAGGAACGCAACATTGGACAGAAAATTACTGAGCCTCATACGATTGGGCCACCGGTGTGTGCTGATGAATACAATAAGCTACACCAGTGTACAAGGATGTTGAATGACTTTCAATTTTTCTTAGGAAAATGTCCAGCAAACAATACACCAGATGAATACCATGCGTTCTTGCGTGGACAGTCGTTTCGGTGTTGACATTTCAATACTTTTAAAACTCGTTTATCCCTCTCATCTTTCATTAAAGCCCAACACGTTTAAAGGTCAGTCCAACGCCTTTTTGTCCGCACTTGTGCTAGTAATCCGCACCAAGAAAGCTTGTGATTAGCCGCCGTACACAGAGGTATTTTACTTGAGACGGGAAACAAATACAACTGAACCAATCATAACAGACTGTACCTATAATGATAATCTAAAACGCAGAGGAGACCATGCATTTTATGATCTGAACCATCACAACATCACCTACACGACAGATAATTCCAAGATGCCTTCTCTACTCTGCAAACAAAGGTGGCATTAGTGTAAGCAATATATAAAGAGTCTTGTGCTGTCAAAGTGACAAGGATTGCGGACCACCATGCTTGTTTTAGCTCTTCTGATTTTAGAAGTTATCTTCACGTCTCCGAACGTTGAGGCTCTATTCTATTCTCGTTTCGGTGAGTAATAAGAGGTGATTTGTTTGTCAATCGTCGTTCATGTTATGAGTGTTTGTATCCTGTCATTTGTATTGCATTCATGTACAATGTAGTTTATCTAATAGCACTAGTACAATTTACAAGGGAAATGTTTTGTATATTTTCTTGGTGATGGACTGTAAAATATACGTTTGAGTTCTAAAACAGAGTTACGTATATATGAACCAATGTCTTTGGATCATGGCATTCAGAAGCAACACATATGTAAGTAACTGATGAAAAGTTGTAACGTTTTCGGTTTATAAACTACAAACGTTATCAAAACGTTTCTAAACTGAAAACAGTCGCCGAAACACTGCAAACTTAAGGTAAAAAACTATGATACCCGTATCAAAAACATCACCACTGAATATCCATTTCTTGTCCGTATCATGTGTAGCCACCGACAAACGTGTGTGTATACTTTCTTTTGCCCGGCAGTGTATTTCAATTCTTCTAATCATATGCTGCATTGATTGAGAAATGCTTTGCATTGGATGACTTTTGAGGAACGGGTATGACTAAGATCTACATAATCACACACAGTCTTTTAACAGCCAGAAACCGATGCTGGCGGTTCTGTGGTCAGTGCAGGGCATCGTGTGATCCTGGGGAGTTCATGTTAGGGCCAGTGCCGTGTGGATTTGGAGCTTTAGGAACATGCTGCGCTGCCGAGCTACGTATGTATACTTATATCCATTCGATGAAGCCATGTATCCCCAAACTATTTTACAGAAGTTCACCATGTTACGACTGTCTACATTTACAATACTTTAACGTTGCTGCAGTGCCCAGGGACGTGGAGATCATTGGTTTCAGGTGCAATAAATATAGGGTCCTCATGCTTGGTCGGGATGGATAACATTTACATATTGAATTATGGTCTAAAACGCTGCAGTCACATAGATTTGATGTGCCGAGTTGCATTCCTGGATATACTTGGTGTTGTTGATTGTGGTTGTCAGCGCCATAGCTACGTGTGCTAAAGTGAAAATGTATACTAAATACATCATCTTCATGTTCACAGCTAAATAGCGTTGTATATGTTAAGTAAAATGACGAATTTGTTTACTTAGGCAATTTAAAATTTCAGTCATTTTACAATTATTGTTTCCATTTATTATATCATGATAACGAATTTCAGACATTTTTATACCCTAATTTTATCACCAAGTGACTACAAATAATAGGATTAAAAATCAATGTATATTTTGTTTACTTTTTTTGGCTTCTCATCCTAGCATAATTAGCATGTTGCGATGTTTTTAAGCCCTTTCCAACTCCTCAATAACTTTAATTCAATCCGACGGAAAAATGATTTTAAAATGACTGAAATGTTTGGCATTTTGTAAATTGCCTCAGTGAAACTTTTAATCATTTAACAAATTGACTGAATTTACACATTGACTGTAACATATATAACAGAAATAAAACTCAAGGTTGTCTTTAAGTCATTCATTCACTTTGCCATAAGGAATTGTAGCCCTGACTATCCGATCCATGCAGCCGCGAATACGTTATGAGCATAATTGTGACCAACCATCAGATGAGGGACCTTATTGGTGAAAAATCACATTTTGACTTCGTAAAACATTTTAAAACTACGGAATCCTAGGCTATTAAATGCAATTCATAAGCTTCAATTCATATCAATTACTGTGATGCATGGCATTAAACATTTGAAATATTTTTCTGCAAAGTCCCATTTTCAGACTTATAACAGTCCGCACACATGACCATTTTAACGGAACTAAGTTGACGTCAAACTTCTTTCTTTATGACGTCACTGCACAATTGTACGCAGGACCCATAAGGTTCCTTTTCTCCTGGTGGGTCACGTGTTGATGGGGGTCTATTCTAACCCAGAACTCCCACTGGGATCGTCGGTGATTGATAATGAGATCACATGTAGGTACATAACATGACGGCAGTATGTGATGTCAAGGACAACAAGCCGGAGTCCTGGTAATACTAAATTGTCTGTTTGTTTTTTGTAGCTTGTTCAGCTTATGGTGGAGTATGTCGCCAAAGTGGATGTCTCAGTTTAACAGAGACGGAGTACACATACAAAGTGCGATGTTTCAACTCGCAACAGACATGTTGCCTGAGAAGGCCCGAGGGCGATAGGTCATTTGGGCCATTCACAATGCAACCTGTCGCCCCTACCTCCAGACCAAACATATTCTCCAGTAAGACATGCTTATCTATGTTATTTGATTTAAAGTATTGAAAAGTGAAACATTGTTTGGATAACAACCTATTTATTGTTCATAATGACATCTCAGTGCTACTTGTCCCTTCATCAGATGATGAGTCAGTTAAAGGCCCCATCTGTTCAGATGTTGGTTGGCTGGTTGTTAACGCCGCACTCTGGACCAGACAAGATTGATATCCTGAGCTTCGATCCACGCAATTGGGTTCGATGACATGCATCAACCAAGTCAGCGAGCCTGACCACCCCTTACGACAAGCCTAGTCGCCTTTTACGGCAAGCATGGATGCTGAAGACCTATTCTAACCCGGATCTTCACGGGTCCAGTTCAGATGTATCCAATTTATGAACCACCAAGGAATGTATGTTAAAGAGTTGCGAATTTCCCTGATGGAATGACAAAGAGGTGGTTCATGTGTATAGATTGTTGATTTGAGCTTGTTATTGTTTGTCCCTATTCTTTTTTCGAAACGAACATAATTCTGATTTATACTCTTTAGACATTGATGTTTCAAGTAATAGCATTCCATTTCTATCTCGCTTTTCCATGCTGGATATCATTTTCAAAGCGCACCATTATTACCCTGGTAGATCGATCACTCTTAATTCGAATTTCATTCTCAGCTCTACGAGGAGTATAGGAACTAAGCTATCGCATTACCATCTGATTCTCCGGGTACCCATTCACTGCTCAGTAAACTGAGGCATATTTTAATCAAAATCAATTGCCTAAATAAACACCACAACTTGCCTTCAGTGTGAGGCATGATCAGAGCTCGAGAAGAGCTCAGGATTCAAGCTTGCCAAACACGGTCACCCATCCTTTAAGAGACCAGCTTTCCTTAACTTTCCCTGATTTATCACATGTACCATATGGCATAACAACAATAAAATGTCTGTAGAAATCTAATTCGTTTATACGTATACACTGAGCCACATACATGAGATTATTGCATGAAATTAGAGCAGTCAGAAGAGGCCCGCACACTGCATATAAATTCCTGATATATTATTAATATATTTACCATACGGAAACTCGACTAATATCCTCTTTGTATGTCATCACAATTATACCAGACTGTGGAGGAAGACGAATCTTTAGACCACGGATCCTGGGAGGCAGCCCTGTGGACTCTCCTTCTCAGTGGCCCTGGATGGTATCCATCAAGACTGGTTCGCCATCCAGCGGCACACACATATGTGCTGGAGTACTCATTAGAAACAACAGGGTCCTAACCACGGCCAGCTGTGCCGAAAGGTATTGTTTTCAGGGTAGATATCCAAGGATGATAAGATAATATTTTCATCAAACTTGGATGAAGTTAACGTTTCTTGTGTTCAGAATACATATTTGATAGTAAAAAAAGACACAACCCTTGTTATAATCATAAGAAGTGTTTATAATATAGTTATTATACCAGATGTTTGGGCAAATCGCGAAATCGTCTCCGACAAAATGATACAGGAACTACGTTAACACATTTTGTAAAGCGGATTTAATTATTGTTTGGTCAAGTTAAAGCGACATATGTATTTTCATCCTAACATTGTATGCCCCTCAGTGCTTCGACCATGTATGTGACCATCACAGAAAACAATATAAACAACCAGGGAGAAATTGGAGAAACAGACATTCGTGTTCGTGGCACCATTGTCCATCCAGCCTTCGGCCCACCACGGCCCGGGGACACGTTGCAAGGTACTTTGCTCTGAATAGTGTATGGTGCGTTGGTGAATGATCGATACATAAATGAACATGCATATGCATGGTACATTTGAATGTATCTGACTATTCTAATATGCATGCTTATAGATGTGTAAGCATATGTGTTCCTTATGAACTTGATTGGTCTTGAATGAATGATGAATGTATGTTGCAGATTTAGTATGTGGAACTGAATTTCACCGCGTATCAGCTAAAAGTGGATCGGAAGACTAAATGATGCCGGACGTACACCATTTTGGCGAAACCCGCGTGTCTCCACATAAAGATCATTGAATGTAAATTCGTGAATATAGACGACTGTTATATTTATAAGAATAGGAAAACTGCCATTAATGATAAATATTAGAAGATGTATGAATGTATGTATATATATATGTGTGTGTGTGTGTGTGTGTGTGTGTGTGTGTGTGTGTGTGTGTGTGTGTGTGTGTGTTAACATTAGTATTCTTGTTTGAGTCCACAATACACAATGGTGTGGCAAAGACAAATTTAAATCAGCCCTTCCATCAAGAATTTTTATTTAAGTGATGTATTGAGCACTGTACAATGTATATTCGAGTAAGAAATCACTCTTTTGAATTTATTTTGATTTCACAAATGTTTTAAAAATTTCATTTGTGAAATAGTCACCTATACTCCACAGGCAATGATATAGCAATCCTTACTTTGGAGTCATCTGCTCCTGCCCCCGCCCAGCCAGCCTGCCTGCCTCGTGCAGGTGAAGACATCCTCCCCGCCACCAGATGCTTTATCGCTGGGTGGGGTTTTAATGCAGGTATGTTTGGCATCGATGGATATCAATTTAATTCATCATATAAATATTATGCTTCAATGCTTGAAAATAGCCAGCCTCGATTGTCCAACGAATCAGATTCCACTGAGTGTAAAATACACACTAGCAGTGAACATTATGTGAATGGATCACTGAAACTCAGTGATGAGATTAGGTGTGAGCGAAAAATGTAACTAAGCATGTCTTGCCCTATCGGTAGCATCCGCCACTCAGTATGCCTCAAAGGTATGTGTTTGCAGCCTGACACCGCAAGTCAGTACTCCTGCTATGTGACAGCGGCATGAAAACACACCAGACAATCAAGTGTACATGTTAGAATATATGCTAGAATCGTCAGCTTCCGTTGACAGAAGTTGCAATAAAATTCGAATTTATGTAAAACCAGTTCTCATACTCAGTATTGTACCATTATCAATATGTGTAATAATTATTTCTTACACGTCAGCTAAGGGAACAGACTGGAAGAAAGGAATTTGCCTGTTATATCATACCGTACGTGCCCCGAAGGTGACGAAATATGATATCGCCTCAACCCTTTACTAACTAACCTCTGTCGTTTTTGGTTCACATGTAGCATTACATTCTACATAAATAAACTTTCCTTGGGTGCATTATCGACTAAGGTTTTTGTCCATAGTTGCTCCATCTTAAGAAACGTAAGATTCGTTTCAGCTTCCGATGGCTTGTTGCATGAGTCCCGTGTGAACGTGGTCAACAACGCGGTGTGTTCCATCGTCTTAGCATTAGGAGTGAATTCCCAACTACCTCCGGATAAGCTGTGTTCTGCTCCTTTCATAGACCGCACAGATGCTTGCCAGGTAAATGTTATGCATAGCTTAGGTAAAATGGGTTGCCTCATCTGCTGGGTAGTTCCATTTGACAACATTTTTATCTTTTGTTTTCTTATTAGTCTTTCCTGTTGCATTCATTAATACCATCAGTATCATGTTTATATATGGCAAAGTTCATTTTGGTTACAGCGTGGTAATTTAGGTATATGACGACCACATGTTTGAAGTGAGGTGAGGTAAAACGGGGTTTATCATCGTGTTCAAGATTATTGCACTTACGTGCATATAGCGAGGTGTTGTGTGTGTGTGTGTGTGTGTGTGTGTGTGTGTGTGCGTGCGTGTGTGCGTGCGTGCGTGTGTGTGTGTGTGTGTGTGTGTGTGTGTGTGCGCGTGCGTGTGTGTGTGTGTGTGTGTGTGTGTGTGTGTGTGTGTGTGTGTGTGTGTGTGTGTGTGTGTGTGTGTGTGTCTTGCTGCATGTACTAGTTTTAGATTAATGCATAATTATGTCGAAGTTATAGCACTAACACACAGTTTGTATACCTATATCAGACACAGCATACTGGCACCTAGACGACCAGTTCTTGTTCCATCTCCTTTTTGCGGAGTACCAGGCAGGGTAATAACAAGAATAATCGTCTAACGTCTTTTGGTAGGAATTCCGGTCTCCGGGCATACGCTCTAATCACTACACTGTAGTGCTTTAGAACCACGCGCGCATTTATTTGAAAGCAAATGCTACATTCAAACGAATCACATTTGTGCAGATGAATAGTACATGTATCTAATTTGTCTAGTATAGTCATGGACTGTACAGCTGTGGTCTGTCCATAGCTCAAAAAGACTTCGATACAACATTCTTCGTTATATCAGACTTTGATTGTTGATTGTACTTTGATATTTGTTCAGGGAGACAACGGTGGAATGCTGGTCTGTGAACAACAGCCGAACGTGTGGACGCTCATTGGTGTCATCAGCGACAACGCATGTTCACAAACACTTCCTGTGGTTTATACGGATGTTCGGGGACATATTCCATGGATTCTTCAAAACCTGTAGAAGCATTTGGGTCACAGCAAAGCAATGTATAGTGAGATTATATTTGTTTTAAGGCAGTGTGATGCCTATACATGTGAGGGAAGGGTTGCCAAACTATACTGTATTACTTTATTTCAAATCAGTGTATATCAGCCGATGTACATGTACTCTCTAGATATATATGGTAGATATATTGTGAAACTAGGGATTTCGTGAATTACTTAAAGTGAATTACTAGTAATTTGATTATGTTTTGGTGAGTTGCTGTCATAGAGATACCTTGTGGAAAGAGTTAACCCAGTCAAAATTATATTGTAACTGTTGATGCCACCACATCCTCAATTGTTGCAATAAATCGTGTATTCTGTGTCTTTTCCTGTTTATGGTACATTGACAAGAAATAATTGAATTTTAACAGATTCAGCTGTTGCAATACATAAACATTTATTACATTCTGTGTATGGGGATGTTGACAAGAGTTGATTCAGGTAGAATATAGAATTTGACTAACATTTCTTTTTGTTATTCATTACTTGTTTAATCATGGTATTGTATGGGATGAACTGCACAAAACGTCTTTGTGCTTGTTGTCAAAAGTAATATAGGAATTTCACAGGATTGGAATTTCACAGGATCATATTCAGAAATCCACGAATTCCCTAGTTTCACAATCTCACAGTAACATATACACATCAGCCTGAATATTACCCCTTTCTTCATCGGTTGTGCTTTCAAGACATGTCAGAAGCGGAGCTGTTAATCAGCTTCGACAGAAGTATGACATCGTGTTACTTCAGTTCTATTCTATAAAATTGTCTGTCTGTCTATTAGGAGGAATATGAAATCTAAAAGTATCAGTCACCACGATCAGAACCAGTTTATTGGTACATTTGGTCTTGAGGCCTATAGTTCTTTTGGTGTATAAACATGTTTTACATACCTAATGCAGGAATTACCACAACATAATTACAACAGGCTACCTGATACTTGTCTATTTTTGAATATTAAAATAATAACACACGAAATGTAAATATTCGTTTTCTGTTATGTTTTTGTGAAAGGGTTTTAGCCTTGTCTTCAGACACTTCAGAGCTCTCCTTTCTGCCATCACCCTGCAGATCGACAAGATTCAGTAAACCACTTTCAACAGCAACTGTAATAATCCAAAAAAGTGTAAATAAGCATGCTGATGTGTCGAATTAAGTGAGGAGTATTAGTGAACATTTATCAGCATGCAAGAACGTTAGTCTACAATAGATGCGTAAAATAATCAAGATTATTGCTATTATTTGTTGAAAAATGTATTTCCAGTACAGTATGGCTTCAATTCCACATACAATTCCAGGATTGACAACATTCATAGTGAGTGATCAAACATATGCAGCTGTTTTCATTGTGATTATGGCCATCAAATAGTCGGAATCGTACAATCGACTCTGTTTTTGGCTGAAATTTCATGCAAATATCAACACCATTGATGCAGAAATGGATCTATTTACATAAACAAGTACAGCCTTATCAAGCCTAGGCATACTAACACACACACACACACACACACACACACACACACACACACACACACACGCACACACACACACACACACACACACACACACACACACACACACACACACACACACACACACACACACACACACACACACACACACACACAGAGTAGTGCCGAAGTATAAATAAACCTAAAATATATGACAAATCAGTTTGTCAACAAAGATTGGCCTGACGACCAGAATTTATCAAAGTTGTCAAAATGCAGATGGTATTGGCTATACGTTTTGCTGCATGGTGATACATTGTGATCAGTTTCTTTAGTTCTTTTTAGTTCTTAAGTTATTCATTTAATACTAACACAGTTACACGTGTTCGATAGTATCAAGAACATTGAAAGTTGCGATGGATTCACTTCATATGCACCTCACAATGTTTTACAAGGATTGAGATGCTTTTTGTGCAGCATCACGTTAAAATACATAAACATACGAGTGGTCATTACGTCGTAGTTTTCTTGCAGTTTTATTTACATAGGAAGAGAACATGTTTCTACGATCCGAGACGGATTCGTGAACAAACACCCATAACATGTATCTGTCTAGGGTTAGGGCGAGAGTTCAAAGCTGTGGAGAGTGTGATCTTATTAGTCTTGAAGTCTGAAAGCACGAGGCCATACATAACTTGCATATGTGCAGGCTGGGTGTCATTGTCGTTTGACAAGTTAAGAGTTTGACCGATTCGGGCGTGATTTTCACACTGATAGAAGAAATAGTTAACAAAGCCTGGTGAAACGCAAAAAGTTGAAGGTTCGAGGAGCTTGTACAAGAGCGTGGTACAGAATGGGGATCTTCTTGAACAGGCGCCACAGGATCAGCACCTTCAACTGTAACTGGGATGTTATTTTGGATACTGTGTGTTTGTTGGTTGTTTTATCTGCAAGCTGTTTGCGCACAATATTTCTTTTGGTCACGTACGTATTCTTTCGTGTATTGTAAGAAAGAGGCTGATGTACTGACATGATTTACTCTGCTAACTGACAAAACAAATATAAATGCAAAATGAATACTTGTCCAGTGTTATATCAGTTATAAAATATTATGATAATATTACATGTATATATATTTATGATACTGATGTGCAACTAAGGCACTATTTATATCAGCCATACATGTTGTGTTTAAGTTAAATGCAATTAAGATCAATGGCGTGTATCTCTAGGTAAGCAGAATATCAGTGATTTCTTTTCGTTTTGTTTAATATTTCAGCTAATCTATAACACATATTATGCCAAGAAATGATTCCCTTGCTGTAAAGACATGTTAGGAATGCCATCACATGTCCATGTCTTGCAGTTACTACATAAACTGGGCTCTGACCTGTAAATTAACCGTTCTATATGTTTAGTGTGCCACCTTCGTTATGGCGGGGAATGTCGGGGGTTGTGTCACCGTGTGGAGGTCAACCTCGGCTTAGACTACTGCAACAACGGCATGGGGTACCAGGGCACCTGCTGCGTGGCACTACGTAAGTACATGTGGCATAATAAATACATTTCATGGGTAAAAGGCATAACTTAGTGAGGTATACCGTAACATATTACACTGCATTAATGCCAATTTTATTACATTCAATGAAATCGGGTTCTTGATAGTTTTTTGTAGTATTAGCTGAATCATGTCATGTTATAGTAAAGCAATCAATATAATAGTAGCCTCTGTTGCTATTCCAAATTTTCAAAACTCATACAAGTCCAAGACGACAAGTACACATGTGAAAATAATGTTCATTGATATAAAACATAAAGCTTTGGCAACTGTGTTCTGTAAATGCTCATGTTGATGTCCATTCACAGCGTGCTGGTACATTGGTGGTATTTGCCGACAGTGGTGCATGCCAGACTACGAGACGAAGTATTCCTTGCCAACAACATGCCCACACTTCAGGTCAACCTGCTGCATGCCTGTCACTAGGATGTCTCCCAACTCTACAACTACCACAGATACATTTCCAAGGGAAACAACAGTACCGACACCATTACCAACATGGACGACGACACCCAGAGTCGACACATCTGCTGTAACGTTTTCAAGCTTTGAAACAACTTTACATGGGTCTACCTCAACAGGTGGGAAACTTAACATGCCAAGGTGTCGTAGAAATAAAAACACTAAAGTCAAAGCAAGGATGAAGTATTGGTAGTTTTAAGTGCATTTGTAAATCGTAATTAAACGAAATTCATGTCATTGGATCTTTATATTCTCTTCAAAACAACCTTTGTCAATTTGGCAGTAAACCTAACAACTTAGGTAAAATAAAAGCGACAAAACCCTTCCATTAATAATAACTAAAAGCGACAAAACCCTTTCATTTAATCATAATAAAAAACGACTAAACCCTTTACTTTAATCATAAATAAAAGCGACAAACCCTTTTCTTTAATCATAAATAAAAAGCGACAAACCCTTTCCTTTAATCATGAATAAAGCGACAAACCCTTTCCTTTAATAATAAATAAAAGTGACAAACTCTTTCCTTTAAATAAAATCGACTGAACCCTTCCCTTTAATCATAAATAAAAGCGACAAAACCATTTCCTTTTAAATAAAAGCGACAAACCCTTTCCTTTAATCACAAATAAAAGCGACAAACCCTTTCCTTTAATCATAAATAAAAGCGACAAACCCTTTCCTTTAATCATAAATTAAAGCGACAAAACCCTATCCTTTAATCATAAATAAAAGTGACAAACTCTTTCCTTTAAATAAAAGCGACAAACCCTTTCCTTTAATAACAAATAAAAGTGACAAACCCTTTCCTTTAGTCACAAAAAAGCGACAAACCCTTTCCTTTAATCATAAATAAAAGCGACAAACCCTTTCCTTTAATCGTAAATAAAAGCGACAAACCCTTTCCTTTAATCATAAATTAAAGCGACAAACCCTTTCCTTTAATCATAAATTAAAGCGACAAACCCTATCCTTTAATCATAAATAAAAGTGACAAACTCTTTCCTTTAAATAAAAGCGACAAACCCTTTCCTTTAATAACAAATAAAAGTGACAAACCCTTTCCTTTAATCACAAAAAAAGCGACAAACCCTTTCCTTTAATCATAAATAAAAGCGACAAAACCCTTTCCTTTAATCATAAGTAAAAGCGACAAACCCTATCCTTTAATCATAAATAAAAGTGACAAACCCTTTCCCTTAATCATAAATAAAAGCAACAAACCCTTTCCTTTAATCATAAATAAAAGCGACAAACCCTTTCCTTTAATCATAAATAAAAGCGACAAACCCTTTCCTTTAATCATAAATAAAAGTGACAAAACCCTTTACTTTAAATAAAAGTGACTAAACCCTTTCCTTTATTCATAAATAAAAGCGACTAAACCCTTTCCTTTATTCATAAATAAAAGCCACAAAACCCTTTCCTTTAATCATAAATTAAAGCGACTAAACCCTTTCCTTCATCACAGAAAAAATCGTCAAAGCCCTTTACTTAATCTTAAGACATTTCTGCTGAAAGCAGAGTCTATTGTACGATTCCGACAATATCCTAAGTATGTGTTTATATATATAGAAATCTCTGCTTAAATCGCTCCACTGTGCAATGAAAAACTACCGGTTGTAGTACGTACATTTTCAAACTATCATGCAACCAAAAAGCATAGATTTCATGGGATTTTCATGTTCCATTCAAAACAGACTATTACCATAAACAGCTAAATTAACTTTTGTGATGTATTTCCAACCAGGAACTTGTGGCAAACGAAGATACATCGGTTCCTTTCCTCTCAACAGCACACGTGGGGCATGTGTGTTCCCCTGGGTTGTGTCAATAAGGACCACATACAGCCAGCACTACTGCTCCGGGGTGCTGGTATCTGACCACGCCGTGTTAACAGTCACTGGATGCGTGGATGGGTAAATATGAACAACAATGTGCTTTTCAACAATGGTCCTGATCTTATTACATTTTTCGATTACAGATAACATTTCTCGTCGTGAGGTAATATCTCAGTCATAAAGCGATCTTCTGAATTATTACTACATCATCAGAACCTGGCCCTTGTTGTTATTAGATTCTTCTCATTATATTACATACAAGAATACCCAGACCATAAGATTCCAGTTTTTATTGCTTCCTACCCATCATATAACCATAACTCTATTATCAGATACCGAGAACAATTGTTCCCGGTGTTTCTTAAATATTTCTGATTATCTTACTATAAACAACTACAATGACATAAGGTTTAATAACACTTTCCTCAACATATAACCATTATTACATTCTCTAATACCGAGAACATATATTTGGTTATAAGTTTTAAACGTTGTTATGTAAATGGATTAATAATGTAATTATTGTAATTTGAAGAAGTGGAATAACTGTTTGTTAGGTTCATTACTCTGTCAAAGTGTATTCTTTAAGGGTTTCAACATCTCAACTAGTTCTAACATTGGGAGAATATGACGCAACACAAGCGGAATCCACAGAAGTACAGGTGGAGGTTGTATCCATCACTAGGCACCCGCACCACACAGCCTTCACCAGAGGTAACTCAAGATAGGTGAACAAAAGCAGCTTGATTTTTAGAGACGCTAGAATTAGAGAACGATGCAGTATGTGATGAATACAAATATATGAATCATTATTGGGAAACGTATGTTACCAAGATGCTTGTAAATGGTGAGGGTGAGGTGAAATTGGGTTTAACGTCGCGTCCAAAATTATTGCACTCATGTAGCGACGTGCAGGTACGTGTGTGGGTGTGGCTGCTTGTACTAGTCAGGACTGATGCCGATTTATAGGGCTTGTTCAACATGAATACCCCACTCAGACACAGAGTAATGACTCCCAGCAGACCAGCCCTTTACCCCCTTAATGGCGAACGCGAGACAGGGTAACAACAAGAACCATCTTTTAACGTATTTTGGTGTGACGCGGCCGAACCCCGGTCCTTCCGTTTTCCGGGCGGACGCTCTACCTCTAGACCACGGAGGCGGTCCTTGTAAATAGAAATATATTTAATAACATATTTTAGCTTTAGGTCTGCAACCATGAGGATTTGGTTAAAAATTGGTGCCCAGCAATCTATGCTCTTTCCGTAAGGGCTGACGAAATGGATCAGGAAGACTCGGTGACTCGGTTGAGAGCACGTGCATATCACGTGTATCATTGCTTATAATATCAATTCCTGGATTATCCTTATATTATGTTTATGTTACAAACAATTATCAAATGTTCCACAACAAAATAACCACATAATTACACAGCTTTATGTTTAAGTTTGTTGTCCCGACAGGCTTTGATCTCGTGCTGTTGGAGTTTGCCGAAGTTGTGAACCACCCCTGCATTTCCCCAGTGTGTCTACCTAAGGTCAACACATCTCCGGTCAGTCTCGGGTTTGGACGGTGTCTGGTGGCTGGGTGGGGAGATATCACAGGTGTGTTCATAGTGGCCAGTCAGGTAGCCCTTTTTTGATGTCAGGTTTCCACAGGGGCGGTCGGGTAGACCTGTGTGTGATTCCCCACATGAATAAAATGTTTGAAAATCATTTCTGTTTGTTCATCATAGTCGATTATATTAGTTCCCTTCTTCACGTAGATACTGTCGATTCAATCAACATGTAAGAAAGGTCTTGGATGTAAATGTGGACGTAGGTTATAGTAACGGATAGCATTTTATGTTGATTACATTTCTAAATTAGATCCAGATGTGTCGAGTGTGCTCGAAGTTCGGCCAGTGAGAGTGTACGAATCCTCCATGTGTTCTCAACTGCTGTTGGCCATGAATGCCAACGGCACGGTGCCTGATGACGTAATTTGCTCTCTACAAGACGACGAAGAGGACACTGATTGCAAAGTAAGTTTGAGGATGAAAGAAGAACCTTTCATAAAAACGCAGTACGTATTTTTAAAATTAGCGAGGAACTTAATTGTAGAGACTGGAAATTGGTACTCCTTGTCGTATTATTCAAGTTATCCAAATTGAGTCTGTTTTTATGTTTACCAATGACTTGAAAATAACCCACAACAAAGATGCAAGCAAGTCCCACAACAAAGATGCAAGCAAGTCAAGTCAAGTATGTTATTCGTTGGTGAGATGAAATGGGGTTTAACGTCGCGTTCAAGATTAATGCACTTAAGTAGCGACCTGCATGCACGTGTATGTGTCTGTGCCTGCATGTACTAGTCCGGACTAATGTCGATTTTGTAGTGCTAGCCCACTGAGATACCATGCCGCAGTTTAACAGACACAGTATACTGACTGCGGGCCGACCAGTCCTTGTTTTAGCCCCTAAATACTCAGCACCAGACAGGATAACAACAAGTACCATCTTTTAACGTCTTTTGGTATGACGCTGTCGGGGATCGAACCCCGACCATGTGCTCTCCATAATCTTTAGAAAGACTGGAAAACTACGACCTTACATGTATCATAAACATTTGTTCATAAATTACTGTCCTTGTCATGATACCTGGTGTTCCCGGAACGGTAAGCGTACCCTTCCTCACCAGTGGCACATGCCACAAACACATACAAAGGCAAGGCAATTGCTCACCTGATACACACACGGGGAAATATGGTACTAGTCAAAATTGGGATTTGCATGTGACATCATTTCGTCACTGATGCGTCAAATTTGGAAATGTTCTCAACATGTCTACCATAAAACGTTTCGAAAGCTTTACGAAGGCATTGAATGTTGTAACCTTGATCAAACAGAAGTCGTACAGAAAACGTCGGAAACTTTGTTACAACGTTAACAATACTTATTCAAGATTACCAAATGAACGTTTGGTGTCATGTCAAGTTTACCTGCACGATTCTTTGTTTCAGACTGATGGCGGGAGTATGTTGATATGCCCCGATGAAAACACCCAGTACTTCCTGTTTGGCATCGTTACAGAATACACGTGTACTGACTATGCGGTGACGCTTTATACCGATATAAGTAGTCATATCGAATGGATCGAAAGCAACTTATCATGACGATCTTACTTTTGTGAATTTATGTTGCGGATCAACGAGTCGCTGCTTCGGACAGGACGAGGTGTTGTGTATTTAAATCAATTCAATTGATAAATCGTAAATGTTGTAATATTTTTGTATTTCAAAGAGTGTGATTAAAGGAATAATTTCAATGAGACCCCGCTGTTTTCGTGCTTCCCGCTTTGATACCATGCCGCAAGTGTTATCTCAATAATGCCAAGCGCCGGGGATGGTAATAACAATCAACAACTTTCATCTGATTTGGCATCACAATTACAAACCTCTGATATAATCAACAGCAACAGCGCGAAAGAAAAGTCTTTTTCTTTACTCAAGCTTGACCTGTAGGAAGTTTTCGTAAATTGTGTTAGCAAAAAAGGGAAAGTTAAATTTGATAAGATATACTCTAATTCTGCGACTTTTAGGCAGGCAGATCACTATAAGACCTTCGACTTAAGACACTTTCAGTGTAAATCAGTGAAAGGGCACAGGTTACACTAATAGTTTCTTATATTTAACAACACGTCTACTTGATGTAAATATGAGGTAGTTTGCATATCACGCGTATGTAATTGTTCTGTACGAGATTTATAAATGTTTGAAAAACGTAAGGCTGTTTAACAAGCTTGGAGTTATACTTTGTCCTCATGTCTGATTAGTGACCACAGACACGCAAAACATGCATTTCCTCTTCAACATAGTGTGAGCCTTTAGACTTACAATGTACACACAGGCGTTGGTTATACTCCACCATATCATAGCGACCAGTTTCAACAGTTATTTTAAATTTTCTGCATCTAAATCGAGAGAGCGTATATTGATGTTACAAATGAATGACTTCAAAAAGTGTTGTCCATGATCAACATACAGGAGTTTTAGGATTTTGGTGTGGAGCATCTACCCAAGTCAGAAAGTCAACAAACACAGAGTGAGTGTTTCACAGCGGCTGAACCACATAATTTTCCCTTCCGCCCAGCCCTTCCTGTAATGCAAAAGACCCAAATGAAGCATGTCTAGATTTTCCGCAGGTTCTGATTCCGCATCTCACAGGGCTAGATGTTTTGTTTCCATCGATTATATATTATCAGAGACTTAGCGTTAGTCCATCTGCCCCGTGAGTTTTCAAGGGGAGAATAATAGGTCCCCAGCAATCAATTATGGTCGAAAGTGGCGAGAGTCATTACCTATTTGAAGACCTTTTCACCGTTAAATTATCTTCCTTCAAACGTCTCATGAGGACAAAGGGGAAAAGGTTGAGGTGAAAAGACATATTGTGGTGACTAGCATCATGAAGTCCTGGCGATCCCAGAGCGCCTGACCTTTCCATCCGCACCGAGTCGTTTAAATCTAGTGCAAATATTGTCGTAGAAAGTGTCACGATAATGTAAATGTCTCGAGGCGAGAGACAAATTAACTAACTTTCAGTGTTGGCAAATAGTCGTGAGCGGTTGACTTCTGTAAATAAAGTCCTTTCTTAATATTCAGGGGGGCTGTCGGGTAGCCTAGTGGTTAAAGCGTTCGCTCGTCACGCAGAAGACCCGGGTTCGATTCCCGACATGGGTACAATGTGTGAAGCCCATTTCTGGTGTCCCCCGCCGTGATATTGCTGGAATATTGCTAAAAGCGGCGTAAAACCATAGTCACTCACTCACTAATATTCAGGGTATAAATGGGTTTACTGATAAATTACACACAAGGTCCCTACATATATGCACATGTACATGCATGTAATATCCGTGTGATATATATAAACTTAAAAATCACATTCGTGAAACCGGTTGACTAAATTATACATCTCATCTTTGGACTTTTGTATTTTATCTATCTATATCTGTGAGTGAGTGTGAGTGAATATGGATTTACGCCGCTTGTAGCTATATTTCATAATATCACGGCGGGGGACACCGGAAAATGGGCTTTACATATTGTACCCATGTGGGGAATGGAACCCGGGTCTTCGGCGTGACGAACCAACGCTTAAACCACTAGATTACCCCACCGCCCCTATGTATATATATATATGGGTACATTGTATGTAGCTGATTGTTGGTGTCCCAAGCCCTGTCGTGACAAAAGCGTCATAAAAGCAACTTCATTACACGAGGCACGGGGGATCCACTCAGCGTTTTAATTAACTGTGAAGAGCGACGTCCCATGCTCGTTTGGTCGAATGCCAGATTCGCTCTGAGAATGTTTCTAGGTCTGTCAACACCGTACCCGTGGTCATAGGCTTAACCAGACAGGTAAACGTCTAGGACCTGTACCATTACGGGGTTTACTCACACATCAAACTGACACGCCGTGATATAACTGAAATATTGTCAGTACAAATCGGCGTCAAACTGACTCAATCACTCTAATAAAAGAGTCCAAACCATTTCTATAATCATATGAAATCTCTGCTAAAAGCAGAGTCCCATATCAGATGCTGGCCATGCTCCAAGCATGTGTTTATTAATCACTATCAAATACTCATGATACCAGGTGTTCGCGAAAAGGTTAACATATACTGTCCCACTGGTTGCATTCGTTACAGTCACAATTAAAAAGCAACTGAAGTATTTACCTGACGAAACACGTGAAAAAACAACTTTTGAGCTATAGTCCTATGGCGCTCTTTGAAATCTTCGTAGAAAGAGTATCTTTGCTTGTACCTCAAAAGTCGTGAAATGTAGACACCATAGACTGCAGCTTCTGGACTATTGGTTGACATAAAGGGAAAGTTGAAGTCATCCCTCCAGCCCTATAGGTTTGTGGCTATTTGTCTGTATCATATAACAGGTAGGTGTCTCGGCAGGATAAAACCAACGGATAAAAACGGTATCATTTGAGGTCATATACGGAGAGAGATGCAAATATCAAAGGTCAGGTAGGTACTACTTTCAGTGTTTACAAGCAAACATGGCGTCGCCCTTGTCAATCGGCGATCGAGTCAGAATTAACCATCGGTAATCTGGAGAAGCAACAGGAATAATTGTTATCATTATCAAAACACTAGTCAAAAGCATTGGAAATCAGTATCTAACTGGGGCGTATACATAGCTGGGGCGTTTTGCAAGTTTGGGCAGATTTGGAGACATAAAATGCAAAAGGTTTTAGCGAGGACACTAGCCCAGCGGTATCAGTTTCCATATCTGTGCTTGTAGACCTCCGCGGCTTGGGACCGATTCCTCTAAGTGGAAGAGTTGGATTTGGCCGAAATATTTCCGAATTGTTAGCTTGTTTCATTTTGTCAATGTGTGTTCATCTGACTCTCCACTTCGTAAGGCAATGGCGGGACAGGCAAACTCAAACCAAACGTGACGTCTCATAGACTAGGGTTAGAGTAGCTTCTCTTTGATAAAGGGCAGCTATTCCAGCGGGCAGACCGATGGAATGCCTCGAAAGGCAAGTAGAAACAATGTGTGTAGGCAATTGTTACTTTGCCTACATGTAGTTACGCCTCTGTGTAAGAAACAGGTTTCAGTTGGAACTGTATTGCCTGTTGTCACTGTCCGACTGACACATCACTTACCTTCTGACGTAATATATATTAATACGCGCACTTCAAGGTTACTTGCAATGTTTAGTTAATGTTTGTAAGAGAAGAGAACTGCTTTTTCGACAAAAATATTTAGGATTGACATTATATGATAAAGAGATTTTCGCGCTTGTATGTTTTGGGACAGTAAATATCCTGTATTAGGAATAAACACTAACAGTATGTATTTACCAGGGCTCGGTAAATACAATGTATATGCCTAATACAGGATATTTACCATCCAAAAATACACTCGTATGATAACTTATATGCCCCAGATCTAATCATGACACAGTCGTTTCTCATACAAAACAATACAACCATGCAGGCGTTTGTACGTGGGTGCGAGCGTATAAAGTACAAACTTGACAGTAAAGTCAAAGAATGTGATAAAACACCAAGCCAGCTGCCTTTTGAAAACAACCCGAACAAATGATTTAAAAATTTTAATATTGCATACGTTAACGAAAAATATGAACCCGATAGGGCGATATGTGTCTTTTGAATGCTCCTAACATGACATTTCTGCACGTAATGAAACTTACAGTGTGACGTCAAAGGGGACAAAAATGCATGATGCAAATCCTTGTATAAAAGCACATGATTAGAAAGACCTTTCCGCAACGTAAACTGAATGCATTCATCGTGTAACGGAGCCAGAGACTGACTGACAAACAGCCAACACCATGACGTCCCGTGACGCCTGTCAGTCATGTCTGTACCACCCAATAGAAAGAAAGGTCAAACAAACCGGTTAAGTATGTGTTCAGGAAACGCGTTACAATGACGCATTATGACGTCAATGAAGAAATGACAATGCCATGTATGGCTCTGAGTGTAAGGTCCTTTTGATAAGATAGCTCGTCCCGTCAGGTTGAAGTTGACCAATGAGTTGAAGCAAGCATCCCACGTGATGTAGGAGGAGTCCGACCTGGGACAACGTGTTTGTGAAAATGACAAGCCTTCGTGTACATTTACGGGAAAAAACACCTGTGGTGTGTTTGCTTAACCTGTATTTGTTAAGCGTGTTGTCATGTACATAGTAAACCAACATTTGTTCAGACGAGCTGATACACGGCTTTGAAGTTGGAGACATGCATAGTTTTAACTGCGACTTATTCATTGAAACGGGCAAGATGATAAATTGTAATTTAATGGAAGGCATATTCACCATTTCTACTGCAGTAAGACTTTAGTATTGGATGAAGACAATATTTTCTAAAACACCGAATAAAATATAAATATTGTCCTGTAATTGTGAAACAAAGATGGTCAAAGAAAATCCAAAATATCAACGCCAGAGAATAATCTGTCTCCAATATCTGCCGAAAAAGATTCCATACGGCGAAAAAGGCAAACTAGTGTTGAAACTATTGTGAATGGATACAAGTATGTTTGCATACGTTTCTTCAAACACATTTTTCAGCAACAGATCTGGAATTCAATAAAACATCGTTAACTAGTCGAACTCAATATTTTGTTTAAGACAAATTTACCCTTTGATCCCTTTTCGACACAAGGGTTTTAAATTGATAAGTCATGTGTGTCGAAGAACGGGTGGATCAGTGGATCATGGAGTTCAGAAGCTAATACGTTCATATCAAGTAATAAAAAATAGAACAATATATGCTTGTGAC